GTCTGCCTAGAATCCCCCAGTGAGGGGCTGGGGTGTGGCTCAGTGGTAGAGCACCTGCCTAGAATCTTCCTTAGTAGGAGCCTAGGACCATGATTCATAAATGGAGCTCCTGATCAGAAATCTATCAATGGGTAAGGGTGATGAGCAATGGGTGTGTATTAAAGATGAGTACATTCTAGCAATGGGATGTTGCTCATCAGTAAAACACTTGCCTAGAATCTTCTAGTGAGGGAATGGGAGAGGGTAGCTGGGTGGTAGATCGCCTGCCCAGCCTGTAGCAGGCCCTGACCAACCTTCACACTCTGGAGCCAGCCATAAGGCAGGAATAATCTCAGAGAGAAGCAGAGGGAATGAGAAAGTGGTCACCAACCATACTTAAAAAACAAAACAAAAAGCCGGGTAGTGGTGGTGCACGTCTTTAATTCCAGCACTCAGGAGGCAGAGGCAGGTGGATCTCTGTGAGTTTGAGGTCAAGCTGGTTTACAAAGCAACTTCCAGGACATCCAGGGCTGTTACACAGAGAAACCCTGTCTCAAAAATCCAAAACAAAACAAACTTTTTTCTGTGTGTTTGTATGTGTCTGTGTGTGGTCCTGGGGAGTGTTTACCCACAGAGGTCAGAGACATTTCTACTGTTAGTTCTTGCTTTCTGCTTGTATTGAGACAGGGTGGGTCTCTCTCTCTCTCTCTCTCTCTCTCTCTCTCTCTCTCTCTCTCTCTCTCTCTCTCTCTTTGAAGGCTTTCCTGTTACTGTTCAGTTGCTCCCCACACAAGACTAATTAACACAAGAATCTGGGGCTTCTCCTGTCTTGTCTCTGCTCTCACAGTAGAAGCACTAGGGTTACCCACATGGGCTATTATTACACCCATCTCATATGGGTTGTGGTAATTTGAACCCAGGTCCTCACACTTACACAGCAAGTTATTTACCCACTGAGCCATCTCCTGGCACCCCAAATCCTACTTTCAACACCAACTCACCGGGATGAAGACACCCTGGGTGTCTTGGCAATCACACTCAATTCTGAGCACACACTTGTCTTTATCCAACACAAAGCCAGGTTGACAGATGCAGCCCTTCTTGCAGGTAGAGGGGACTTTGGTGATGGTGCCCTCACAGTGGGCATCAGGGTCCGAGCAGGAAGGTAGACAGGAGGGAAGGCAGGTGGTGTACTGGCTATGGGCAGGGCATTGGAAAGCTGTGGGGTTGAGGAGAAGGAGTGAGTGGAGAGAACAGAGGGGCCACAGATACATAAACCATGTGAGCTTGGGGCCCCCAACTGTGCTTTCAGCAGACACTTACTGCTGCGGATTGTTTGCCAAGCCGTGAGAGAAGAAGGTATGAAGAATGGAAGGAAGTGACTGCCAGAATTCTTAGCCCCTCCCCCAGCGACACGACCGCACATGCGCTCTCCAGTAGCCAAACAAGATGCGCAGTCATCCTAGGGCCTTACATCCTACGTAATCTGTGTGCTGTGTGATCACACAATCTGCATGCGTTGTGGTCACGTAACCTATGCGCATGCATGGCATAGATAGCAAGCCCAGAATCACATGTGTGTGTGGGAGACCTATAAAGCGGGTTCCACCTATTCCTTCCCTCTCTTCCTGCACGGTCCTCCCATAGGCCTGTGCACACCGCTTCTATTCCTTTCCCTTGATAAACTCTTATAGTGGGTTTTGTTGTGCTTCGTGGCTTCTCTCGCATGGTAAACAGTGCCACTTAATAAATAACATTGCGCCACTTAATAAATAACAGTGACCATTTAGAGACTAACCCTGAGAAAGGATCTAGTCCAACATAGGTCCCCAGAATCTTTTCTGACTATGGTAGCTCTTAGCCCTGAGCTTTAATGCCCAGAGGACCAAGATCCTTCTTGCCCCGCCTCTGACTTTTCCTTCCTTGAGCACACCCTCCCCACCTCCCCCATGGCCCCCTTACAGATTTTGACACAGTGACTGCTGCCGTCATTGCTGTCCTTGCAGTGAGTCCCTGAGGGACACTGGAAACTCCGGCACCTGATGGCCCCTCTCATACAGGTACAGCTCTGGGTACAGCCTGTGGACATCCAAGTCTTGCCTGCCTGCAGAAGCCAGGAGAGGAGAAAGGACATAGAGACTGAGAGGATGCTCTAGAGAGCCAGGCTTAGCCTCATGCCTGAAGGGTTTATATATGCTCTCCTTATATTCAAGCTCCATATCTAGTCAATCAACCAAGCGCCAGTAGAAAATATCTGATTTAAAAAAGGCATTTGGGGCTGCAGGTTTCTGTCCAGAGACAGAAAGCCTGAGTAGACTTCCCCAGTGAAAGTCTAGAGGTGTGGCTGAGCAGTACATTGCTTGCCTAGAATCACATCAAGCAGGGGTGTGCTGCATGGCTCAGGCTTGCCTAGAATCCAGTAGTAAGATGCTGGGGGCAAGGCTCTTGCTTAGAACATTTGCCTACTGTATACCAGGCCCTGAGGATACAATACAGGTCTATACATTTCAGGGCCAGCCATACAGACAGGAACATTCCAAGCAGTGAGAAGCAGAGGGAAGGAGGAAGGGGCCCCAAACCCACTCTCCACACCCACTCACTGGGATGAAGGCACCCTGGGTGTCTTTGCAGCCACAGTGAATTCTGGGTACACACTTGTCCTTATCAAGCACAAAGCCAGGGAGGCAGAGGCAGCCTTCTTTGCAGGTGGAAGGGAGGCTGGGGCTGGTGCCCTTGCAGTGGTCATCCAGGTTGGAGCAGGAAGGCTGACAGGAGGGAAGGCAGTTGGTGTAGAGGCTGTGGGCCGGGCACTGCAGAGCTATGGGAGGAGGAGAGATGGGTTATTGGAGAGGTCCAGAGGGGCCCAAGGAAGCAGAAACTACAGAAACCAGACTGGGCAGAGACGACAGAGCTGAGAGCATTTTCATTCTTTTGTTATTCACTTAGCAACCACTTACTAAGCGTGGTCTATGTGCCAAGCCCCCAGGAAAGAAGAAGATGGGTCTCCCAAGTTCATGTGGGAGACTCACCATTGAGAGATTTAAACTGAAAAGGAACACATCCCCAGAACCCCTCTCCACTTCCTGTCCTCCGCCTCTTAGGCCAGGAGACCAAGCACCTTCTTCCCTTGCTGTTGGTCCCTGTAGTCACACGCACACCCCACCTTCCCCGCAGCCCCCTTACTGATTTTGACACAGTTGCTGCTGCCGTCCTCGTTCTCCTGGCACTGAGCCCCCAAGGGACACTGGAAATTCTGGCACTCGATGGCCCCTCCAATGCAGACACAGTTCTGGGTACAGCTGCTGGAGATCCAGTTCTTGCCTTCCTGCAGAAGCCAGGGGAAGAGAGGTACAGTGAGGGGGAGAACTGCTTCTGGGGAGACAGCCCCCCTCCTGTTGAGGGACTTGACCTTTCAGTCTGCAGGTTTCCCTCCACTGAGTCAATAAACCACGGATGTAAAAATAGAAAAAAAAAATTGCATCTGAGGCTGGAGGTGGGGCTGAGTGAAGAGCTCCTGTGTGCAGTCCCCATCAAGTGCTGGGGACATAGGTCAGAGGTAGAGCACTGGCGTAGTCTGCACCAGACGGGACCAACTGTCCTGCTCTAGGGCCCTTCACAGAGAGAAGTGACGGCAAGGAGAAAGGGACCCCAATCCTACCCTCTATGCCACTCACCGGGACGAAGACACCCTGGGCGTCTTTGCAGCCACAATGAGTTTTGAGCACACACTTGTCATTGTTCAGCACGTAGCCCGGTTGACAAATGCAGCCCTCCCTGCAGGTGGCAGGGACTTTATGGCCAGAGCCCTCACAGCGGCTGTCCGGGTCCAAGCAGGAAGGTGGACAGGAGGGAAGGCAGTTTGTATAGTGACTGTGAGCTGGGCATTCCAGAGCTGTGGCACAGAGGGAGGTTAGCATCAGTTAAGAGGGCCGGAAGGGGCCCGAGGAAGCAAAGGCTGCAGAAACCAGGGTGGGTTAAATCAACATAACTCACCCCCCCCCCCCATTATTCATTCAACATTGACTGAGTAGAGCCTGTGTGCTGAACTCTGAAGAAATAAATCAATAAATCAATAAATAAGGTTCTTTTAAACTAATGTGGGAACTTACCCAGGTCAGTCAGCAATAGCAAAGTGACCTTTATGTCCTCCTCAGTCCTCCTGCACTTACTAGCTGAGGACATAGAGTTGAGTACCAGGTATAACGGGGCCTCGGGGCAAGGAGGGGAAACTGTCAAGGAATTTTAAATGGTCCTTAAGGGAAACAGCTCTGTGTTGTGCCTCATAGCTGGGCACTCAGAGGACAGAGGCAGGAGGATCCAGAATCAGGGCTATCCTTGACTACATAAGAGAGTTTAAAAACACAGAGAGACAGGGCTGAAGAGATTTCCCAGACAATAAAGATGTGTGCCATCAAGCCTGAGGATCTGAATTGGATTTCTGGGATCCACACAGTGAAATAGAGAATTAACTCCCAAAAGTTGTCCTCTGACCTCCGTGTGTGTTGTTACATGCATGCACACATGCCCATGTGCGTGCATACACACACCACACACACACACACACACACACACACACACACACACACACACACACTGAATAAATAATGTAATAAACAAAGCAAGTCAGAGAGTGACCAAATGTAGGGAGAGTCAGCAATGTGCTGCTCACATTAGTCATCCCTTGGTTAATTACCTTGCTCTTTCCCCAGCCCCTCACTGAGAGACTCTAGGCAATCAGTCCCCCCCTGAGCTATACTCCTGGCCTGGCTGACTTAGCATGTATATTATATCGCATATCATGAACCATGTAGAGAGGGTTGAAAGTATATTGGATGGTGTACACAGGTTCTATGCAGACTCTGTGCTATTTTATGAAAGGGACTTAAGCATCCTCAGATGGTGCTACCCTTGGGGTTCTTGAATCCAATCAGACAGACCCTGTTGATATGGACAATTAATAATACTAAAAAGTTTTAATCATCCCTTGCTTTGCATTTTAAGATATCTGTGGCCGGGTGGTGGTGGCGCATGCCTTTAATCCCAGCACTCGGGAGGCAGAGCCAAGTGGATCTCTGTGAGTTCAAGGCTAGCCTGGTCTACAGAGCAAGATCCAGGACAGCCAGGGCTACACAGAGAAACCCTGTCTTGAAAAACAAAACAAAACAAAACAAAGATATCTGTGTACGTGTGTGGGTGTCCATTTGCATGCATGCATGTGTGTTTGTGTGTGTCTGTGTAATGTGTATAAGGGTGCTCACAGAGGCCAGAAGAAGGTATTGGATCCCCTGGAGATGGAGTTACAGGGATTTATGAGCCACCTGATTTGAGTCCTCTACAAGAGCACTGAACTGCTGAGTCATCTTTTCAGTCCCGTGGTTTAAAAGTTTACAGGTTCTTGACTTACACTGAGGGTTGCACAACCTAACAGTATTCTCCTCCAAGTCATCTCTCCAGCCTTAATGTTTGTTTGTTGGTTTGTTCAGTGCCACAGCTGAGGCAGGCTTGGCGGTGCAGGAGGAACAGACGTTTAAGGCCATGCTTGGCTGCCTAGGGAGTGTGCAGCCCGTCTGGGTGGACGACTGTAAGGAATCAGTACTCTCCAGACACAACAGGGTATTTGCACACATGAAGCCACAGTGGCTGTTCAACATGCACAAGGCCTGCACAAGTTCAAGCCCCACAAAATCTCCGCATGGAGAAAGGAAATGGGTGTGAACTCCCACCCCTAGCTGAAGAGCTACTGGCAACTGTTAATCTGCTGGAGACAGAGTCTTTTCTTTATGGATATGGAAGCCCCTGGAAGGTGGACTACACTCCAGTGGATGCCTATACACCCAAAAGTAAATAAAGAGCACAAAATGACTCAATTGTGTTTAAAAAAAAAGTCATAAAGTTGAGTGGGTAGGTGGACCTGGGTGAGTTGGGGAAGGGGGCTAATATGATAAAAATACAGTGTATAAAATTCTCAAAGAATTAATAATAATAAAAACCGACACGAAGGATGGGTGGAAGAGCCATAGGAGTCATATTATTTTCATTTACCTAAAATTACATATAGTAATATAGGTGTCTGTGTATAAATATATAGTTTAAATGAAATGTGTCCCTTGGGCTGACAATGCTCCCCACAAGAACAATAGACTAACCAAAACCCCAGTATCAGGTGTGAGAAATCCCTTTGAAGTTGTTGGTCAGAGATATCCAAAGACTCCCCAAATACTAGGCTACTGTCCTTGGTTGCCCTCCAAAGGTAAAGGTAAATTCTTTGGTTGAAGACACACGCACTCTGAATACAGTCCTCAAGGATCCCGAGGAGCTGAGCTAGATCCTGTCCCACAGCCTCCTCCCCAGGACGAGTTTTCATTGACCCAACAGGTACTGTTAGAGTTTCAAAGGAAGGAAAACCCAGTCGTCCTGCCCAGCTGTGACATGTGTCACAACAATGACCAGCACGAGAGACACCCCTATGGGGCAACAGTGGCACTTTGATCTCGGTAATGACCAACAGCTGTCCCCAGACATGAGCCCCCTAACTGATTATCCAATACCAATTGGTCAGCCATGAAATAGCGCGTGCGTGCGTGCGTGCGTGCGTGCGTGTGTGTGTGTGTGTGTGTGTGTGTGTGTGTGTGTGTAGCACTAAGTGGACTAAGTAAGTTGCATTTATATATTTATGCATTTATATTTTTATTGTAACAATGACAAAGAAAAAGAAGCCACAAAATTTGAGGGAACAAGGGCACGGGACATGGAAGGGATGTAAGGGAGAAAAGGGATGTGGGAAAATGATGGAATTATAGATTCATGTTTTGAAGAGACAAAAGAATGCCAGGCATAGTGGTGCACATCTTTAACCCTAGTGCCGGGGAGGCAGAAGCAGGTAGATCTCTGTGAGTTCGAGGCCCACCTGGCCTACATAGTGAGTTCTAGGACAGCCAGAGCTACACAGTGAGACCCTGTCTCAAAAAAGCCAAATGTTCAAAATTCTTCATAGTTCAAGTTCTGAAATCTCAAAAAGTAAAACTTATAGTAGAAAAAAAGCAAAAAATTGTTGTGGAATACTCTTTTTGTACACTGTGAAGAGGTGTCTTCGCCAAGGCACCTTCTGATTGGTTTAATAAAGGGCTGAGTGACCAATGGCTTGGCAGACAGAGAGAAAAGAGGAGGAGATGAACCTAGGTGTGGGAGAGACACCGGAGGACACAGAGAGGAAACAAGAGGTGCAAGATGGAAGAGAGGTAAAAAGCCACGAAGCGGGCTGGAGAGCTGGCTCAGCAGTTAAGAGCACTGGCTGCTCTTCCAGAGGTCCTGAGTTCAATTCCCAGCAACCACATGATGGCCCATAACCATCTGTAATGAGATCTGACGCTCTCGTCTGGCGTGTAGGCATATATCAGGCAGAACACTGTATACATAATAAATAAATATTAAAAAAAAAAGCCACGAAGCAAAAATGGAGATTAATGGGTTAATTTAAGTTATAAGAGCTACTGAGACAAGCCTAAGCTATAAGCTGAGCTATTGTAATTAATAATTAGTCTCCAGTCATTTTTGTGGGCTGGGGGCCCAAAGAAAAATCCATCTACAAAAAACAGAACAGAACTGGAGAGAGTGTCCAGACATCTAGGGATGTGGTTCAGTTGGTAGACCATGAAGCCCTGGGTTCTATCCAAAGCTCATCATAGAACCAGGCATGGTGGTGCAAGCCTGTAATTCCGGTACTCTGGTGGTGGAGGCAGGAGGATCAGGAGTTCCAAGTCATCTTTGGGACTTAGCAAGTTCAGGACAAAACTGTGCTATAGGAGACCCTGTCTCCTCCTCCTCAATATATAAAAAGAAGGCACCCACTCTGACCTGGAGGGCCAAAGAACTTTCCAGGGTTGATATGAAGATGTACAGTGTGTGGGGAAATGAAGTTCTTTTTGGTGTGAGCTACATGCAGATGACAGAGGTAACAGAGCCAAGACAGTCTTCAGGGTCTTAAAGTCATAGCACAGAATTTAACCTTAACTGCCAAGGTAGCAACCAGGCAGGACAGTGATGACTTTCCCTTCAGAAGAACAGCATTGGCAGGAGAGATGAAAACCAGAGAGCAGTTAGAGATGCACCTCAGTGATCTATTGCTTATCTATCATGAGAAAAGCCCTAGGTTTCACCCCCAATAGTACAACTTAATTTATAAAATTCTTGTATTAGCTGGACTGGCTAGGAGATTTGTCAGTCTACAAGCGCTTTCCCACAAGCATGAAAACCCAAATCCAATCCCCAGAGCCCATGTGAAAAGCCGGGTGTGGTGGACAGTGCTTGTAAGTCCAGTGCCAAGGAGACAGAGACAGAGGACCACTGAGGCTCACCAACCAGCCTAGCCTTGGTAGCAGAGATTCTGCTGAGAGACCCTGTCTCAGAAAACAAAGTGGAGCTTAGGAGACGGCACAGTTGGTAAAGTGTCTGCCGTGCAAGCATAAGGACCCGTTTCTTCTCTAGCACTCACATAAAAACCCAGGCATGGCGGCACGCACCTGTAATTTCAGGGCTGGAGGCACAGACAGGCAGATCTGCTGGCCAGCCATTCTAGCCTGTAACTGAGCTCCAGGTTAGGTGAGAGACCTTATTTCAAAACATAAGGTAGGGAGGCTAGAGAGATGGTGGGTGGGTAAGAGCACTTGCTGCTCTTCCAGATTTTTCTCAGCAGCCCCATCAGGTGGCTCATAACCCACCTAAGGTATTGGCACACACACACAGCACACACACACACACACACACACACACACACACACACACACACACACACTTTTTTTTTTCTAAAAATAAGGCAGAGCCAGATGTGGTAGTGAATTCCTTTAGTCTGAGCACTCTGAAGGCAGAGGCAGGCATATCTTTGTGAGTTCAAGGACAGCCTGGTCTACATAGGAAGTTCTCGGAACCAGGGCTACATAGAAGATTCTGTCTTTAAAAAAAATTAATTAAAAAGGTAGAGAACAGCCGAGAAAGATGCGTGATGTCAGAGTCTGGCCTTCACAGACATGTTTACACATCCACTACACACATACCACCCCCAACACACACACACAGAAAAGTCTGGCCTTCCTAGACATGTTTACACATCCACAACACACATACCACCCCCAACACACACACACAGAAAAGTCTGGCCTTCCTAGACATGTTTACACATCCACTACACACATACCACCCCCAACACACACACACAGAAAAGTCTGGCCTTCACAGACATGTTTACACATCCACTACACACATACCATCCCAAACACACACACACAGAAAAGTCTGGCCTTCACAGACAAGTTTACACATCCACTACACACATACCACCCCCAACACACACACACAGAAAAGTCTGGCCTTCACAGACATGTTTACACATCCACTACACACATACCATCCCCAACACACACACAGAGAAAAGTCTGGCCTTCCTAGACATGTTTACACATCCACTACACACATACCACCCCCAACACACACACACAGAAAAGTCTGGCCTTCACAGACATGTTTCACATCCACTACACACATACCACCCCCAACACACACACACAGAAAAGTCTGACCTTCACAGACATGTTTACACATCCACTACACATATACCACCCCCCAACACACACACACAGAAAAGTCTGGCCTTCACAGACATGTTTACACATCCACTACACATATACCACCCCCCAACACACACACACAGAAAAGTCTGGCCTTCACAGACATGTTTCACATCCACTACACATATACCACCCCCCAACACACACACACAGAAAAGTCTGGCCTTCACAGACATGTTTACACATCCACTACACATATACCACCCCCAACACACACACACACACAGAATAAGGTAGATGGCTATAATGAAGAACACCTAAGGGTGGCTTCTAGTCTCCATGTACACATGCATATGCCGCTACACACACACACACACACACACACACACACACACACACACACACACACACACTTTTTAGGTTATAGTGGAACACACCTATTACCCCGGTGTTCAGGAGGCAAAGGCAGGAGGACCTCAAGTTTGAGGCCAGCCTAAGCTACAGAGAGGTATGTGGGGAGAAGCGGGGTTTGGGAGCAGCGTGGGGTGACTACAGGGAGACTCACCGCAGAAGCTGCTGTTCCTCCAGATGGGCGGCTTGAGCCCGTGGTTCTGACAGGCATCCTCGAAGGACTGCAGAGCCTCACAGAGGGCACGGAAGAGCTCTTTGAATTCACAGAAGTTTTTCATACATCCCAGCAGGAAGGGCTTGAGGGGTACCCGGGCAGCACACTGGGCCCAGGCAGAACTCTGGAGCGCGGCCTGGCAGTATGCCAGGGCTTTCTCGAAGTCAATGACCTTGCACTTTCCATTCATGATCTCCTGCTGCTCCACTTGGAGGCTCTGCTCTTCCATGTTCTGGCAACTAGAACGGGAAGAGCAAGGGCTCAGAAGAGCTGGGCGTGGCGGTACATACCTGTGATCCCCGGGCTTGGAACGGGAAGGCAGGAGGATCAGAAGTTCAAAGGTGAGGCTGGTGGAGCAGTTCAGCAGGTGAAGCACTTGCCACCAAGCCTCAGAACCCAAGTTTGATCCCTGGAACCTACATAATGGGAAGGGAAAGAATGGACTCATGCACATTGTCCTGTGACCTCTGCACATGCAGCATGGTGCGTGTGCACACACACAAACACAATTCATAAAATTAAAAGACAATGTTTTAAGTTGCTCAAGGAGGCTGGAGAGACGATTCAGTGCTTAAGAATTTGTTGCTCTTGCAGAAGAGCCAGGTTCAGTTCCTAGCACCCACAGGATAGTTTACAAGCATACGTAACTCCAGTTTCAGGGGATCCAATGCCCTCTTCTGATCACAATGTGCACCAGGAACGCATATGGTGCATATAAACACATACATGCAAAATACTCATACACATGAAATACAATAGATAAATCTGGGGGAAAAAAGTTGCTGGGCTGTGGTGGTGCCCCCCTCTGATCCCAGCACTTGGGAGGCAGAGGCAGGCAGATCTTTATGAGTCCCAAGACATCCTGGTCTACAGACTGAGTTCCAGAACAGCCAGGGCTACAAAAACAAACCCTGACTCAAAGCAAACAAACAACAAAAGTTAGTTGTTCAAGGTCATCTTTAACTACAGGTGAGTTTGGGACTGTTGAGGAATACGTAAGATTCTGCCTTAAAGATACACACACACACACACACACCATATATACACAATAACAATAAATAAAATGGAGGTTGGGAATATAGTTCCAGGGTAGGCCCTTGCCTAGCATGTCTGAGGCCCTCTGTACTGCAAAAACAAAAGAAAAAAGCTAGGTGCGGTGTGCATGCTGCAATTCCAGCACTCAGGAGGCAATGCAAGAGGACACTGGTGAGTTCAAGGCTAAGCTGGTCAATCCATTAAGTCCCAGGCCAGCCAGGGCTACAGAATGAGACCCTGTCCTGAAAGGGTGGAAGGGAAAAGGGAGGGGAGGGGAATAGAAGGAAGGAGAGAAGGAAAGAGGAAAAGGAGAGGCAGGCAGGCAAGCAGAACAGGTGGCCAGACTTAGAGGACCATTACTTGGGGTCGATGTCCTTATCTTTCCAGCTCTCCATGAACTCCTCCTCATCATAAGCTAGTTCATCACTGGATGTCATGAGTTCATCCTCTTCTTCGCTATTGAAATTCCCGCACACCCCACAGACCTGGGAGGGCAGAGGGGAGTGGGTTTTCAGTGCTAAGGGGGCAGAGAGGGGTACATACTTTATTTCTTCTTTTTCGGTGCTGGTGATGAAAGCCAGGGCTTTAGGCAGGTGCTCTACCACTGAGCTACAGCCCTCACTGCCTTTTCATTGTTTTAATTTTTATTCTTTGGAAACAGAGTCTTCTGTAGCCTAGGTTGGCCTCAAACTTGATGAGCAGCTGAGGATGACCTTAAATTATTGCTCTTTCCGCCTCCAACTCCTTTGTACCACTACACACAGGTTATGCACTGCAGGGATGGAACCCAGGGCTTCCTGGATAGGCTCTCTTCCAAAAGAAGTAAAACCTGTGCCTTCTAATTTTCGAGACACAGTCTCTCTGGGTAGCATGGAACTTGCTACCCTCCTTCCTTAGCCTCTCAAGTGCCAACATGCCAGGTGCTAAGGGCATTTTTCATTGATGCGTACTTGCCATCACTACATAAAAAGGAACATTTGGCCTTCTTCCTCTATGCTGGGGAATGACCTCTTTGGTGTGTTAGAATGGGATGCCATTCTATCCTCCAAAAGATCACCTCTCCACCAACACAGCCAAGTGTTTTCTTTCTCACCTTTCCATTAGAGGATGCAGGAATTTTGATATCTAAGAAACTGTTGCTCTCAAATTTGACTTGAACTTCGTCCTTAATTGTGACAATGGTATAGACGTCTTCGGTCGTGATGCTGACTCCCGGGATCTGGGTCGTGGCAGGAAGGGTGACTGGCGTGTTATTGATCTGAAGAGGAAGACAGAACCATGAATAGATGAAGAAACCAGAGGCCTCTCCTTCCGGGTTCCCTCCTCCTTCCCAGCCACTGTCCCCAGCTCACCAGGACTAAGTGGTCTCTCTGCAGAATGACTCGGAAGCTGAAGATGTCAATGTATAGCTGATAGACACTGAAAGTCTTGATTTTACTGTGGGTGTCCCTGCTGGTCTTGGCACTGATCGTGAAGAAAGGCAGGTTCATGTTGGGGTGGCATACTTTGACCATGACATAAGTACATGTGTCTTGGATAGGATGGCTATGGCCATCGAAGCTCACAATCTGAGAATCCTCCGAGATGTGACACTCTGCCATCTCTGTGAAGAAAGAGGTGGTTCAAAGATCATTCCAAGATCCCTAGAACACAGTCCACCCTTCTCTGCCTGGTCCAGACCAGAGAGACCCAAGAGAGAGGAGGACCACATTTAAGAAAAGAATCAAATCTGAGGATCTGCTGGCATAAGGCTTGAGCGTAGATAGGAAGGGTGTGGCTCACACAGTTAGGGGCTCATAATATGTCATGTGTGGTAGTTTGAATGTAAGTGGCCCCCCATAAGCTCACAGAATGTGGCACCATTAGGAGGTATGGCTTTGTTGGAGGAAGTGTATCACTGTGGGGGTGGACTTTGAGGTCTCCTTTGCTCAAGCTACGTTCAGTGTGACAGACATTTCCTGTTGCATGCAGATCAAGATGTAGAACTCTTAGCTCCTTCTCCAGAGCCATGTCTGCCTGCATGTCGCCCACCATGAAGCTAATGGACTAAATCTCTGAACTGTAAGCCAGCCCAATTAAATGCTTTCCTTTATAAGAGCTGTCTTAGTCATGGTGTCTCTTCACAGCAATGGAAACCCTAAGACACCATGGGAGGGCAGGTGTGGGGCCAGTGAGATGAGTGGAAGGCAAGCCTGAAAACCTGGGTTTGAGTCCCAGAACCCCCATGGTGGGAGAACTGATTGACATAAGTTGTCCTCCATAGGCACAAGGTGCATGCCCACTTCCCCACACAAAATAAATAACTAAATGTATTTTTTTTAATTAAAGAAAAAGCTAGGTATGGTGGTACATGCCTGTCATCCCAATACTTGGTAAGTAGACACAAGAAGATCAGCGTAGGGTTGGGGTGAGGGGATGGCAGTTTGAGTTCTGCCACAAGTCCTTCAGGTACAGCCAGGCTATCAGACTCCAGTACATCAGGGGATGAGGAAAGCTGCTCCCAGTGACTGGCAGCATAGCCCAGCTTACCTGCAGCACAGCGCAGCAGCCCATCCTGGCGCAGGCACACTTGGTTGGCCTCACAGGCCATGCTGCTGCAGGTGACATTGCTGTGGACCGAGCATGTGCAGAGGGTGGTGCAGGTCTTCTCTGTGTACCAGCTCTCCCCCAACTGTGGGGCATGGCCATCATCAGCAGAGCCAATAGGAAACTTGGAAACTGGAGATGGGTGGAGTCCTCCCCAACCCAGAAGGGTAACTGTATTTGGTCCCTTCCCTTCCCCCATCTTTCTCCCTTCCTCCCCTCCCTCCTTCCCTTCTCCCTTCTTTTTCCTCCCCTCCCTTCCTCCCTTCCTTCTCTCCCTTCTCCTCCTTCCTCCCACACTTCTGTTTTCTTTCTATCTGTCCATCTATCTTTCCTTTGAGACAGGATCTATGAAGCCCAGGCTGCCCTTGAGCTCAGACCCTTCTGCCTCAACCTTCCAAGTGCTGAGATCACAGGTGTGTACCCCACATCTGGGTCTCTTCCAAGTGCTGAGATCACAGGTGTGTACTCCACATCTGGGTCTCTTCCAAGTGCTGAGATCACAGGTGTGTACCCCACATCTGGGTCTCTTCCAAGTGCTGAGATCACAGGTGTGTACCCCACATCTGGGTCTCTTCCAAGTGCTGAGATCACAGGTGTGTACTCCACATCTGGGTCTCTTCCAAGTCCTGAGATCACAGGTGTGCACTCCACATCTGGGTCTCTTCCAAGTGCTGAGATCACAGGTGTGTACCCCACATCTGGGTCTCTTCCAAGTGCTGAGATCACAGGTGTGCACTCCACATCTGGGTCTCTTCCAAGTGCTGAGATCACAGGTGTGTACCCCACATCTGGGTCTCTTCCAAGTGCTGAGATCACAGGTGTACTCCCCATATCTGGGTCTCTTCCAAGTCCTGGGATCACAGGTGTGTACCCCACACCTGGGTCTCGATCTCTATTTTTCTCAGCTTCTCAGTATCTAGCCTTCGTCCTCACCCCCAGCTCCGTCCTGCCCCACCTTTTCTTGCACTCTGAGGCCTCCAGCTTTCTCTCACCCCCCCCATGCCCACATGAAGCCAGAAAGGGAGAGCATCCCCTGCCCGTGGCCTCTCACCAGGTGGTAGGAGCCGTCCTGGTCGCTGCAGCCACACTGTCTGAGGGGCACACAGGTGGTTCCACTCAGGATGTGGCCTTTCTGGCATTCACAGCCCTCGACACAGGGCAGGTCTGGACAGTCTCTTGGGGTGCTTAGGGTGAGGCAGGTGGCTGGGCAGGGGTTGGCACATGGGTTGTAGCTGCTCATGGGTGGGCACCTCAGAGCTAAGAAGAACACCAATGTTAAGAAAGGCAGAATGGCACTGCTCGCTCCTGACCTTGGAGGGACAGTTCCTGGGAAGGTTCACTGATGAGTGAGGAACCCTGGTCTATCTGTGTGAGAGGTGTTAGAGCCTTTTCTTCTTCTAAGGCAGAGTCTCATGTAGGGAACCCTAGTCTATTTGTGTGAGAGGTGTTATAGCCTTTTCTTCTTCTGAGGCAGGGTCTCATGTAGCTCAGGCTAGCCTTAAACTCGCTATGTAGTCAAGAATGACCTTGAAATCCTGATCCTCCTGCCTCCGTCTCCCTAGCTCTAGGATTACAAGCATGTATCACCATGCCCTATTTTATTGATCAATTAACTGGCCAACCAGTATAGGACTTTGAGGCCCAAGCCAGCCTCAAACTGATAATCTTCCATATTCAGCCTCTTGATTGCTGGGGTTATACGCACGAACTACCACACATGGCTCTCGTGGCTCTATAATGAACTATTATCTAGGCTTCCAAAGGAAGTATGACCTGGGCATGGCAGGACAAACCTATAATCCCAAGCTCAGGACACTGATGTGGGAAGATTGCCATGAGTTCAAAGCCAGCATGAGCTATATGAAATCCTGTCTAAAATCCCATCTTCTTCCTCAGAAATGAAGAATGCCCTGGTCTGTGCTATAATGTGGATGAACCTGGAAAATCATATTAAGTGAAAGAAGTTAGTTATCACAGGACACATACTCTATGATTCTTTGTGTATGTACATGTTCACTTGTGTGTGGATATATGTGTGGGGATGGGTGTATGATTGTGCAAGGATATTAAAGCTAAAGCCTAACCTTAGGTATCATTTCTCAGGCGCTGTCCTTTTTTTTTTTTGAGAGAGAGAGACAGACAGACAAACACACACAGAGAGGAAGAGACACAGATGGGGGCAGAAAGAGAAAGAGGGGGAGAGACAGAGAGAGAGAAAGGGTCTAACTATGTAGTCCCTATAGCCCAGGCTGACCTTGAACTCCTGACCTTCCTGCCTCCACCTCCCTAGTGCTAGGATTACAGGCGTGGACCACCATGTCTGTTCTTACAGGAAGTTAAGTTTGTAGTGACAGAGGGCTGAGGCGGATGTAGGATGGAGTGTTAACAGGTCAGACTTACATCTGGGGAAGAAAAGGTTCAGGTGATGGATGGTGGTAGGGGTTGGTGGTTATAGAACAAAGTCCTTCTTACCACTGAATTTTTTAATTTGTCACTTAAAATATCCAAAATGGTTCTGGACATTTTATACAAATGGTATCACATATGATGCTTTGTGGCTCCCCTAGTGAGCAGTTTTCAACATCTATCCATGTTGAGCTGGTATTTCATTCTTTTTATAGCTACATAATTGTATGAATATGCCGTATTTTGTTTAACCACTCCACAGTTGATGCGACATTTGAATTGTTTCCAATCTTTTTTTTTTGGTTCTTGTTAGGGTCTTTCTGGATAGCACAGGCTGGCCTCCAAACGCCTTTCCTCCTGCCTCTGCCTCCCAAGTACAAGGATTACAGGTCAGCACCTTTAGCCCAGACTTGCGTCCACTTGTTGGCTGTGATGAAAGGTGCTTGGATAGACTTGTGTGGAAGAATTTTGGTTCGAATAAGTTACTGTTTTCTGCACACACGCAGGACTGGATTGCAGATCCAATGGTCAATCTAGTTTAGTTATTTTTAGGAACTGCCATACTGTTTTCCCCAAATGGCTAAAACAGGGTTTAACTCCATGGTAGTGGGTCTGCCTAGCACACACAAAGCCCTGACTTGATCTTTTTTTTTTTTTTTTTTTAAAGATTTATTTATTAATTATGTATACAGTGCTCTGTCTGCGTGTATCCCTGCAGGCCAGAAGGGGGCACCAGATCTCATGATAGATGGTTGTGAGCCACCATGTGGTTGCTGGGAATTGAACTCAGGACCTTTGGAAGAGCAGCCAGTGTTCTTAACCTCTGAGCCATCTCCCCAGCCCAGACTTGATCTTTATAGTACTACAAAGAGGGGAAAGGAACACTGTAGGTCTCAAGTCCCAGAAGGCAAGAGGTTGTTTGAGAACATGCTAGACTGCACAAGAGAGTTCAAGGCCAGTTGGAGCTACTTAACAAGGCTGTCTGGAAATGGCACAAATGGACTGGGTGGATGGCTGAACAGGTAGGGTATCTGCCCAGTACCTGAGGACTAGAACTGGGACCCCGCAGCTCCTAAGAGCTGGGCAGACATGCTTGTCTGCCTGGAATCCCACAGTTCAGGAGGCTGAGACAAGGGGTCCCAGGCACAAGTCGGCTAACTAGACTAGCCCATGAAAAAGCTCCAGGTTTATTGACAGACCCTGCCTCCGCAAGTAAAGTGGGGAAAGATCAAGGGAGACATCTGAGGTCAGCCTCTGCTCTTCACACACACACACACATACACACACACACACACACACACACACACACACACACACACACACCCCACAGGCATACATATCTGCATACGTGTGTGCCCACACATGTAAAAATGAATACCTCGGGGCCAGTAACAGATGAGAGTAAATGTGCTTGCTGACAACCTGCTGACCTGAGTCTGATCCCAGGACCCTCCTGATGAAAGGAGAGACCCAGCTTATGCACGTTGTTCTCGGACCTCCACACGCACATCATGGTCTGCATATACACGAAAGGAAGGGGGGCATACCCACATGCACACCACACACAAATACATACACAGTAAAACCAACACATCCAAACAGAAAACAAAGTAAATTTAAAACAATTTAAAGACTGCTTTCTGGCCAGGAGGATGGCGCTCGCCTTTAATTCCAGCACTCAGGAGACAGAGGCAGGCAGATCTCTGCACCTGATCTACATAGCCAGTTCCAGGCAGCCAGGGTTACATAGTGAGACCCTGTCTCAAGATTAATTGATTAATTATTTTTTTAAAAAAAGGTTTTGTTAAAACCTGGGAGAAGGGAGCCGGGCGGTGGTGGCGCACACCTTTAATCCCAGCACTTGGGAGGCAGAGCCAGGCAGATCTCTGTGAGTTCAAGGCCAGCAGAGAAACCCTGTTTCAAAAAACAAAAACAAAACAAACAAACAAACAAAAAACCTGGGAGAAGGGGGCAATAACTAGACACAGGGCCAAATTTTTGATGATATAAAAATCAGACAGAGTCAGGCATGGTGGCATACACCTGTAATCCCAGCTCTCCACACCTACACAGCAAGTTGGAGGTGAGCCTGGGTTACATGAGATCCTGAGACCCTGACTCAAAAAAAAAAAAAAAAAAAAGGAAAAGGGAAAGAGGGAGAGGGAGGGAAGAAGGCTCTGGGCTCTGTAAGGCAGAGCTGAGCTGGAGAGGCAGAATGGGTAGGGAAGAGAACTTCCTGTGGGTGTGGATGCAGGCTGAGGAACATAGCTTTGGGATGGGAGAGGACAGGGTTCTTGGGATTCACCAAGGGCTGTAGGAGCTGGAGGGGGGGTCACTCACGGCAGAAGGTGCTGTTGCGCCAGGTAGTCACCTGGCCAGCTTGGGCACACAGGGATGCGTAGGCCTGCAGAGAGCGGCACAGGGCCAGGGTGTCCCCTTTGGTCCCACACTGGCCATACACACAACTGGAGAAGCTGGCCTGCGGGGGCACCGCCTCGTGGCAATTGGAGAAAGGCCCTGGAGGACAAGACAAGGTGGAGGATAGGAGCGTGAGCCCAGTGGGCAAGCTGGGCCTTGCAGCTTCTGTACAGATAATTTAGGGGATATACGTGTATCTGTGTGTGTGCAGGTGCATGCATGTGCAAGTGTATGCATGTGCAGGTGCATGCATGTGCAGGTGTATGCACAGACCAGAGGACAACCTCAGATGTCATTCCTCAGGAATCATTCACCTTGGGTTTTAATTTTTATTTATTATCATTATTATTACTGTTTGTGTACAATATGCATGTATGGGCATATGTGCTATGGCATGTGGGGGTCAGAAAACAACTCTGTAGAGTTAGTTCTTTCCTTCCGAAATTACATGAATTCTGGGGATTAAACTCAAGTCAGAGCAAGAACCTCTACCTGCTGAGCCATCTCACTGGCCCCACCTTATATATACTAACTGTGTGTGTTTGTGTGTGTGTGTGTGGGCACATGTACCACAGGCTGTCAAAGACAGCCCACAGGAGTCCGTTCTCTCCTTCCACCATGTGGACCCTAGAGATGAAATTTGATGGCAGGCACCTGCATCCTCCAAGCCATCTTTCCAGCCCTCCATCTTGCTTTTTGAGACATGGTCTCTCATTGACCCAGCTGGAACACACCAAGTCAGTTAAGCTGGTTACAGTGAGCTCTAAGGATTCTCTCAGCACTGGGATTACACGTGTATCAACATGCCTGGGTGGATTGTTTTTTAATTTATTGTTATCATTTTGTGAGGCAGGGGTATAACCATGCCACAGTACACATGTGGAGGTCAGAGCACAACTTCTGGAGGTGGTTCCATGGATTCCAAGGACTGAAGCCAAGTCTTCCGGTTGACGGTGAATGCCTTTGCTCTCTGAACCATCTTTCCAGCCCCACAGTCAGGTTTTTCATTTGGGTGCTAGGGATCAAACTTGGGTCCTGTGCTTTCAAGACAGGCACTGCCCAACTCAGCTATCTCCTCAGCCCTTGTACAGCTAATTTATGTCCACTTGCATCGAAGCCTGGATGTTGACCTCCTGCCTTTCTATCTGCTTCTGCTCTGGCTCTTCCTCCCATCATGACCCGTGCTCTCTCTCGCCCAGGGCAGAGGACAAAGGGCCCTGGGAGGAGGTGCCGCTCACCAAGAGGGTTCATCAAGATGGAGCAGTTTTTACTCCAGCTCTCGTCCATGTTATTCTCTTCACAATTGGAAGACTTGCCCCCCGCCACAAAGCAGCTGGATACGGAGGAGAAGAAAGGTTAGAAAGGTTAGGCTTGAGGAAGGATCCTCCAAGCCGAAGCTAAGCCACAGAGGGGGAAATGGAAAGGAAATATAATGGCACCCTCAAGTGGGAAGGCAGGAGGCTAGAGGCCAGCAGGACTTCTCAAATTGGCTGTGTCAAAGGCAAGGATAAGAAGAGTCAGCTGACATAGGCCTGAGGAGTTCGAACAATTTTATTTAACTGTTTACATTTTTTTGAGACAGGGTCTCTCTACATAATCTTGGCTATTCTGGAACTTACCATGTAGTCCAAGCTGGCCTCCAACTCACAGAAACCCCCCTGCTTCTGCCTCCCAAATGCTGGGATTAAAGGCATGAGCCACCAAGCCTGGCTTGTTTACATTTTATTATTTATTCTTTAATGTTTAGCTTATTGTGTTTAATTATGTGTGTGTGTGTGTGTGTGTGTGTGTGTGTGTGTGTGTGTGTCTGTGTGTGTGTGTCTGTGTGTGGATATATGCACATGGGTGCAGGTGCCTAGAGAGGCCAGAAGAGGGCATCAGATCCCCTTTGGCTGTAGTTCTAGGTAGTTGTGAGCCACCATGTGGGTGCTGGGAACCAAATCTGGGTCCTCTGCAAAACAGCAAACACTCTTAAGTGCTAAGCCACCCTCCCAACCCCTTTTTTGAGACAGGGTCTCATGTAGCCCAAACTAGCTTTGAATTCATTATATGGCCCAGATGACTCTGAAATACTGATACCCCTGCCTCTACCTCCCATCTGTTGGAATTACAGCTATGAACCATCGTGCTTGATTTATGTGGTTTTGGGGATGGAACCCAGAGCTTCAAGAATGCTAGCAGAGCACGTTACCCACTGGGATATACCCCCAGCCCTGTTGGAACAACCTTTCAGATTTACAGCCTCAGGTCAGGGATGTGACTCTAGCCATTGGTTAAGTGTGTATCTGACATGAGTAAAGCCCTGAGTTTCCTCCCCAGCACTGGAAACTCAGAGAGGATGAGGAGCAGAATTGACTGGATTCCTGGTAGCAGGGTGTGCAGCACAGAGGAAGCCCATATACACAAGGAACACTCAATGGCAGACTTCCCCACAAGGACCAGTTTCCCTAGGCCCAGCTCATCAGATGCCCAGTTCCCCTATGTTCTGATCCCCATGTACATCTCCCTATGTCCATTTCCTCTAGGCCCAGCTCCCTAAGACTCAGCCCTCACCAGACCTACCTTACCCAAGCATAACTCACCCAGGCTCAACTCACCTAGTCCCAGATCCCTATATACCCAGCTCACCCAGGATCAGAGGCTTCAAGTATTTTCCAAGAAGTTCCCAGCAGAAGTGAGTTGCCTGCAGGCTTCCCGTCTGGACGCAGATTGTCATCCAAACTGTTATTGTTGTAGTTCCCTAAGGAAGAGAGCCATCACAGGAGTGGCATACATTGCAGTGTTGCCCTTGAACTCACTAAGCAGCAGAGTTTTAGCGGTCACCCAGAGCTCAGAGGCCACTGCCTTCTCAACTAGAAGACACACTGCCTAATGCCACATCAAAGCTAACCTTTTTGTCTTTTTGTTTTTCTGGGTTTTGTTGTTGTTGTTTTGTTTTGTTTTCTTAATGACAAGGTCTTATGTATATCAGTCTAGCCTTGAACTAACTATGTAGCTAAGGATGGCCTTGAACTCTTCATCCTCTTATTTTCATCTCCCAAGTCCTGGCATTACAGGTGTACACTACCACCCAGTGTATCCAGTGCTGGGATGAAACCTGAGACTTCCTGCGTTCAGGGCAAGAGCTCCACCAATTGAGCTACACTCTCATTGCACCTTTCATCTTTGTTTTGAATCAGGTTTTATGAAGCCCAGGCTGCCCTTGAACTCACTACCTAGCAGAGGATGACCTTGAACTCCTGATCCTCCTGCCTCTACCTCCTGAATACCAGTTTTACAGGCATGTACCATCACATCTGGAAACCCTTTCCTCTTTCCCTCTGGCTTTCCCAGGTACCTGCTTTTGGGTCTGGTGCCCTCAGCTCATTCATTGGTTGACAAGTCCTGAGGACACCCAATGGAGACATGGGGAGCGGGGCAGATGTCCCCAAGGGTCTTACCACACAGCCCACAGAGTGAGCCGGTGTACGAGGAAGGCACTGTCACCTCCACCAGGTGGTTTCCATCATATCGAACTTGAAGCCCAAAGTTCGTGTAGAGCAGGACAAAGATGCCGCTCAACCTAATGGCCACCCGTCCTTTCAAAGGCCACACAGGTAGTGCCACCCGTTGGTTGTTCAGCTGCAGAAATGGGCAGGATATAGTAGAGAAAGTCAGAAACTTGGGACAAAGACCAAATGGGGCATGGTTAAAAGAACAGAGAACAGAATGGAGGTGTCTTGGAGCTCAGCTCTTGGAGGTGGAAGCAGGGGGTGGGGCTGGTAGTTCAAAGTTATCCTCAGTTACATAAGCAAGTTCTGGGCCAGTGTGGACACATGCGAGCCTACTTCAAAAATAGCAGTAACTGAAAGAAAAGGGAAGGAGAAAGAGGCTGGGGGGTGGTGTGGGCTCTAGGAGGCAATAGAAGACACATACCATGACCCTTCGACCTTTGAATAGGGAGATTTTGAGGTCAAAGACCTGCACATGGACAGCTTTGATACTGGAGACTTCCAAGTTGCCATCACGGATCTCATTGGTGGCACTCACAACGAAGTTGTCTAGAGAATTGGACCAGCAAGGCCGGGTCAGGACGTAAGTGCAGGTGCCCATAAAATGATGCAAAGCTCCATCAAACGTCAGGTAGTGGGGGTCACCAGAGGCAATGCAGGTGGCTTCACCTGGGGAGGAAAGGGCAGGCTTTGGTGTCTCACTGCGCCACCCCCCAGAAGCCTCAAGTCAAGGCTGCCATCCTGGGGAGGCTGTTTTGAGGTGGGACTCATGACACATCCTTGAACTTCAGTCTCCTCTGGGAAGACGTGTTGGCTTGGCCCAGGAAGGTCAAGAACAAAGACTGCCATCCTCAATTTCACTTTCTTAGCCCTTGAAGATGCTGATCCTACTCTGAAAGTTTAGATGTGGAATCCCAAAGACTCATGTGCCAAATCTTGATTCTCTAGCTCAATGTTGTTGGGAAGTGGTGAAAACTTTAGGTGTAGCAGAAGGTTTGAGGTCAGTGGGGGGATGTTGTTGAAAGGGGATTGTGGGATCCTAGCTTCTTTCTGGTTCTTTCCCAGCCATAATGTAAGCAATTTTTTGTTCTGTCATGTCTCCCAACAAGATGTACTGCCTAATCATGGAACCCAAATCAACAAAATCAAATGATCACAGAGTGAAACCTCCCAACCTGGGAGACCAAAGAAACCCTCCTCCTTGTCCTCCTCTCCTTCTTCCTCCTTTCTTCTCTCCCTCTTCTTCCTCCCCCTCCTTTTATTAAATAATAAGACATTTATTGATTTTTCACACAGTCCAATTACTTCTACACAAATGGCCTCAAAGGATTGTGGGCTAACATTCCAGTCAACAGACCTCAAGACATTTGCTCCTCTGCTCTCAACTATTCCCCTCTCCTCCCATCATTCTTTGGCTGATTGGCTTTAGGGAAAAAAAAGACCTACGTTTATGAGTAGCTTCTATCTAAGCCCAAATGAACAAAAGTAGTAGTATTTTCAAATCCATAGAAATTCGGGAGAATGGAACTGAGCATTACAAATCACAGCAGACAGCCTTAACTTGGGGTTCTTACTGCCATCATTAGCTTCAGATAACCATCTGACACACCTGGAAGGAGGGGACCTCAGTTGCTAACCTGCCTCCACCAGACTGGCCTGTGAGCATATCTGGGGGGCATTTTCATGATTCCTAGCTGATGTAGGAAGGCCCAGTCGACTGTGAGTGGTACAATCCCTCGGCAGGCGGTCCTAGGCTGTTTAAGAGAGACAGCTGAACTTGACACTGGAAGCAAGCAGGAGCACTGTTTCTCCATACTCTTCCGTTTCAGTTCCCGCCTCCGGGTCCGTGCCTTGGCGTCCCTCAATGAAGAACTGTTAACCTGTATGCTGAAATAACCCTACTCCCTCCCAAGCTGCTTTTGGCCCTGATGTTTACCACAGACAGCACAGAAAACAAACTAGAACACTTATGTTCGAGAAATGCCTTGCTTTTGCTTCATGAGATTAGAAGGAGTCTCAAAATACAATGCCAAATCAGGATTTTCCAGGGAAATTTTGCTCTTAGTAGCTATTGCTCCCAGTCATGGCTTGGTGTCAGGTGGAAACTGTTCGGCAGATTCGCTCCCCTGTATTATTTGAGGGATGAAAAATTTCAGCCTGCTGGTAGGACATGTAGTAATCATGCAGCCACAAACTCAGAATCCAAGAAACTCTTTGGTGGCAAAGATCAGTGACATTTAGGCCAAAGAAAATGTCAGCTTGACCTTAAAAAAGATGAACTCCTCCACAGAATGATCAACCACTAATAAAAGAGGCCCAACTCTTTTGACTTCAAATTGCCGCATTACTCTTATGTCTGAAGGCAAGAAATCAATAAAAACTCCTCCAACAAAAGTCCTTAAACAAATTAAATGGCTTATTTCTTATTTTTGTTTGTTGTGGTTGGTTTTTGGTTTTGAATATTTTGTTGTTGGTGATTGCTCTTTTTATTTTTGGTTTTTTGAGACAGGGTTTCTCTGTGTAACAGCCCTGGCTGTCCTGGAACTCTGTAGACCAGGCTGGCCACAATCTCACAGAAATTCGCCTGCCTCTGCCTCCCAAGGGCTGGGATTAAAGGTGTGCACCATCACCGCCCAGCAAATTGGCTTTTTTCTGAAAGTGTACACCATATCTGCTCCAAAGAATAAAGACACGTAACTGGGCGGTGGTGCACACCTTTAATCCCAGGACTCAGGAGGCAGAGGCAGGGGGATCTCTGACTTCGAGGCCAGCCTGGGCTACAGAGTGAGTTCCAGGCCAGTCAGGGCTACACAGAGAAACCCTGTCTCGACAAACAATACAAAAGAATAAAGACACATTACAACAACCTCACCAAGAATGTACGCGGTAACAGAAAGCAATGGGTCGCGTGGAGCTTAAGGTTATGGAAGGAAACACATTCTAGGACCAGACGTTTCCCCACAACCAGAGGCTCGCACGTTCTACCCAGTGTTTCTGGAAACTCGGTGGAGCCCTCCGCTCGCGGCCTCCTCGGAGGGCTCGAGCACACTGGATCTTGGGCAGAGCACCAGGTCCAGGACCTGCAGATGACGCGTCTTCCCGGAGTCTCCTCTCGGCTCTTCTCTTTCCTGCTCGAGCGTCCTCAGGTTCTCAGAGGAATCTTCCCCCAGCGGCGCTCCTGACGGAAACTGGTGCCCGGAAGTGCCTATCACGGTCCGGCTGGGGCTCCTCCCGGAAGTACCTGCCGCGCTCGCTCCTCACGGCTCCTCCCGGAAGTACCTGCCGCGCTCCTCCCGGCGGCTCCTCCCGGAAGTACCTGCCGCGCTCGCTCCTCACGGCTCCTCCCGGAAGTACCTGCCGCGCTCCTCCCGGCGGCTCCTCCCGGAAGTACCTGCCGCGCTCCTCCCGGCGGCTCCTCCCGGAAGTACCTGCCGCACTCCTCACGGCCGCTCCTCCCGGAAGTACCTGCCGCGCTCCTCATGGCGGCTCCTCCCGGAAGTACCTGCCGTTCCTCATGGCGGCTCCTCTCAGACCCAGAGCCCTCGCTGGGCAGCTGCTCTTCCTATCTTTCCTGAAGGAATTTCCTGTTGCGCTCTAGGCTCCTCACAGCCGAGAGCAGCGTCTTCTGTCAAGCTCCCGGTTTCGCAGATTCACGTCTTCCCCGGATCCACCTTCTGTCGCCTTCCTCTTTTTTCTTTTTCTTTCTTTCTTTTTCTTTCTTTCTTTCTTTCTTTCTTTCTTTCTTTCTTTCTTTCTTTCTTTCTTTCTTTCTTTCTTTCTTTCTTTCCTTCCTTCCTTCCTTCCTTCCTTCCTTCCTTCCTTCCTTCCTTCCTTTCTTTCTTTCTTTCTTTCTTCTTTCCTTTCTTCCTTCCTTCCTGTCTGTCTGTCTCTCTCTCTCTCCCTTCCTCCTTCCTTCCTTTCTTTCTGTTATTGCGTTTTTTAAACAGTCTCTGCGCCGGAAAGATGGTGCAGGGTAAGTGAAGAGGACTCGCTGCCTCCGCAGCCGGAATTCAGTTCCCAGCACCTACGATGTGCAGTTCGGGTAGCTTCCATCTGTAACTGCAAACCCAGGGTGTGCGGCACCCTCTCTGGCTTCTTCAGGTATTTACACTCACATGTACACCCAGTCACACACAGACACAAACACAAAATTTAAAATTAAATATCGACACAGTCTCCTATAGCTGACACTGGGCTCAGACTAGCTGAGGATGACCTCAAACTCGTGATCCTCTTGCCTCCACCTCCCAAATGCTGGGATTCCAGGCAGGCACCACCCCAGCAGCTAAATGTCTTTATAACGGGGTCTTTCAGGCCGGGCAGTGGTGGCGCACGCCTTTAATCCCAGCACTCAGGAGGCAGAGCCTGGCAGATCTCTGTGAGTTCGAGGCCAGCCTGGTCTACAGAGTGAGTTCCAGGACAGGTACCAAAACTACACGGAGAAAACCCTGTCTCATACAAACCAAAATATATAAATGGGTCTTTCTCAATATTTGTTCCAATCTCAGTAAGATGACCAACACACAATCTCTAGCTGAGCCCCTATTTTTGGGAAAGCTGCTTTTAGCAATGCTTTCTACATTACTATATTTTACTTTCCTTATTACTTTCCATTACCATATTACTCTATATTACTATATTACCAAATCCTTACAAAAGCAACTTAAGCTAAGAATGGTGTGTTCTGGCCTACAGTGTGTAGGGAAAACCATCATGGTGGGAAAGCACGGTGAAGGGGGTGTGAGACAGCTCCCATGACATCCTCAGTCAGCGGGGCAGAGAGAGATGAATGCTGGCACTCAACTCGACTTCTCTTTCTTATGTAGTCCAGGACCCCAGCCCATGAATGATGAGGCTTACATTTAGTGTGGGTCTTCTCACTTCCATTAACTGAATCTAGAAACTTGCTAACAGACACCACCAAAGACTTGTTTCTAGAACCTGTCAAGTTGACAATCAGTGTGAACCATCGCCATCCTCTCAAATGAAGCCCCTGCTCACCTTCCATGCTGACTTGACTGCTCACCTTGGGCATGACAGCCTAATATGCCTTCCTTATGGCTGCAGGCTTCCTGGGCCTTACACTTCCAGGGCCAGCAGCGAATACTGTTGTTGCCTTCACAAATGCAGATCTCTTTGCAGTCTGGATTAAACCACTGCTCCTGTATCTGGGGTACAGAAGGGAGAGCAGTAAGAGATGGCTTCCCTGCCGGCTGTCTTGTCTTCCTGAAGCTCTGGGCTTAGGTGCAGAAGGCTGGTATCGAACAGGCTTAGTAGTGTACCACGTGCAGTGGGAGACGCTGTTCCAGGGAAATAGGGCAGAAAGTGATAGAGCAGGATGCCTGGCATCCTCCACTCCCCCGCATCAGCACAGGGCTTCAGAAACTCAGAGCAAGTCCTTTTGTCTCTAGGGCTGAGGGATTCACGCCAGCTGCTCACCTTGAAGTAGCGTCCCTCAACATTGGTGCACCCACACTGCGATCGAGGGACACACTCAAAACCACTGAGGATGAAGCCAGGGTCACACTCGCAGGCTTCCACACACTGTTCTGGGCAGGGCTGGAGAGCAGATCCAGGATGGCAGGTGTCCGGGCAGGGTTTGGCACACAGGGAGTACCTGCTATTTTGAGGGCAGTCCAAGGCTGTGGAGGGAGAAGCTTAGGTAAGAAAACAGGCAAATTGGACGTGGTAGTGCAGACCTGTAAATCCAGGAGTCAGGAGGCTGTGGCAGCAGGATTAAGAATTCCAGGCCAGCCTGGGCTGCAGAGTGAGAACCTGACTCAGAAAGTGATTTCAAAAGGAGACAGATGAGACCAGGTACAGAAGGAGGGAACATGCTAAGAAGGTCCCAGCCAGCGATGCTGTGACCAATATCGAGAAATATGGCTTGGAGAAGATGAGCCCAGGAGCCCAGCTGACCGGTAGGGCTTGCGGCTAGAAGCTAAAAGAGTTGCCTGCATGCTGAGGGTGTGGTTCGCTTGGTAGAGTGCCTGTATGCACGCATGAAGCCCTGGGTTCCACGCCACATCAGCTGGTTGTGATGGTGCATGCCTGCAGTCCCAGCACCAGGAGGTGGAGGCAGGAGGATCAAGAACAGTGCCATCTTAAGCGCCATGGTGAGCTCAAGACTAGCCTGGGCTGCATGAGACTCGGCTCCAAGAGCAAACCAAAGCCCTGCCTAAACCAAGCTTGTTACTTGGGTGCTACAAAGGCCCTCCATGGAAGGCAGATGAGCTACAAATTAGAGGATACAGGCACTCTGATATGTCGACATTCTCAGTAAGCATGTGTGGTACCCAGCAAGCCATGAACAGCCTGGACCTGGGGATGGATGTCTGCTAATGCAGCTTCTCCAGAGGACTGGGGTGTCCATGCCAGAGCTTCAGTACAGCCTCGCCCATTCAGTCTGCACTGAATGTGATGAGAACCGGGGGGGCACAAAAGTACACTGTCTTCTTCCCTACAGAACCAAGTGACTGTGGATGGTTATTGATCTGCCTTCTCCTCTTCCTTCTCCTCTTCCTCGTCCTTTTCCTCCTCTCCTATTTCTTCTCTTCTTTCTTGTCCTCCTCCTCATCTTCTTCCTTCTCCTGCCCACCCCCCACGCCCCCACCCCCACTGAGGATTCAATCCAGGGTCTTAGCCACATCAGAAAAGTGTTCTGCATCTGAGCCACACCCCTAACTTCTCACTGATAGATTCTAGGCAAGCACCCTATCACTAATCCATAACCCCAGCCCCCGTCAATGGATTCTAGGCATATGCTCTACTGCTGAGCCATGCACCTAGCCCTCTTTTTGTCTTTTTGTTTTGAAATAAGCCTAAGTTGCCCAGCTTGGTCTTGGACTTGAGATCCTTCTGTCTCGGCCTCCCAAGCAGCTGAGATTACAGGACAGCTGTCCAGCCAGCTTACTGATTTTTCTCAGACATCTTTCCAACTCTCCTCACTACCCTGTCCTCATATGTAACTGGAGTAGGGAATCAACAGGTTGTACCATGTCTGTATCTAGAGGAAGCTGTACCAGATCGTCCCCCAGTGCTTTGGGTCCTAACTCACGGCAGAACTCGGGTCCCCTCCAGGGCTTCACGGCATAGCCGGCTTCTTGGCAGGTGGCAGTCATGGCCGACATATGAGCACAGAGCATCTGCTGGAGCCCCTGGAAGCTACACATGTCCGTTACACAGTTATCCAAGAAGGATGAGGCCTTCATATAGAGCAGGCATGCCCTGGGGAGAGAAGCTAACTCAGAGGGCAGGAGAGGGCAGAGCCTCTATGCTCCACCTCAGAGAAACCCTAGTGCCTAGCAACCGCAGGCAGCCCATCCATCCGCCTTCCTCCATACTCAAAGGTTCCTTTTGGGTCAACAAGCTGGCCACATAAGTTGGACCCCGACATAGTTCTCCCCAAGGCTGAATCACACGATGGGGGGCTCTTCTTGTTCTGACACCTGGAAGAGACCCAACCCAAGCAGTCAGCAAGACTGGAAGAGCCCAAACGAGGTGGAACAGCTGGAGTCTCCAGGTAGGGAGAGAGAAAAGGGCAATGCTAGTGAGCTTAATTGGTTCTTTTTGAGACAATCTCACTACGTTAGCCCAGGCTTGGCCTTGACATTCCTATAGTCCTGGAAACGTAAAGATCACAGGCAGGTACTACCAAACTCCCCCGACCCCTAACCCCATTACTTTTGCTTCAATTTTTACATTGCTGAGGATCAAACCCAGCATCTGGTGTGTACTAGACAAGTGCTCCACTAAAGAGCCACACCCCCAGCCCCTCACTGGGGGATTCTAGGCAGGTGCTCTACCACTGAGCCACACCCCAGCTCCTCACTGGGGGAATCTAGGCAGGTGCTCTACCACTGAGCCACACCCCAGCCCCTCACCGGGGGATTCTAGGCAGGTGCTCTACCACTGAGCCACACCCCAGCCCCTCACTGGGGGATTCTAGGCAGGTGCTCTACCACTGAGCCACACCCCAGCCCCTCACTGGGGGATTCTAGGCAGGTGCTCTACCACTGAGCCACACCTCCAGCCCCTAACTGGGGGATTCTAGGCAGGGGCTCTACCACTGAACCACACCCCAGCCCCTCACTGGGGGATTCTAGGCAGGTGCTCTACCACTGAGCCACACCCCAGCCCCTCACTGGGGGATTCTAGGCAGGTGCTCTACCACTGAGCCACACCCCAGCCCCTCACTGGGGATTCTAGGCAGGTGCTCTACCACTGAGCCACACCCCAGCCCCTCACTGGGGGATTCTAGGCAGGTGCTCTACCACTGAACTATATCCCCAGCTCTTGGATTTTAGAAACTGGATCTTGCCATGTCTGCAGCTCCAGACATTTCAGTTTCTTCTGGAATGACAGGCACGAACAGCTAAGCCCAGCTCTGATAGATCTTAAAATGGGCACAGTCAGAGGGTTGAAAATGGAGGACCACCCCCGGCCCCTGGGGGGAGCCCCACTCACTTCTTGTCCTCTTCCTCTTCTACCTGCCAGCTCTTCCCCAGCTGATCCTCATCATGTGTCATTGTGCCATCCGGCTTCCGGTAATCATTGCTGCTGTCCCCGTCATAGTTCCCACAGAAACCACAGAGTTTGCCTGAGTAGGTACTGTGGGTCCGGGAGAGGGGTAAGTCATCAGAGACCACAGCAAGGGAACGGTGAGCTGTGTGCCCTGATGGTAAGAGACAGGAGGGGGTTGAGACTACCCACTCTTAACAGATTCTGTGACAGGCCCCAGCCTGAGCATCTATCTATACAGGATCTCCTCTGACCTTTCTGCTCAACATCCTTCGCTGCCCTCTACCTTCTCATGGCTTTAAACAAGAATGTGTTTCTCCCCACCCCCCCTCTCTATCTTTCTCAGTGTGTGTATACACTCACATGCAGGTGTAGATGCACAGGCATGCATGTATGTGGGGGCCAGAGGTCAACAATGGGTATCTTCCTCAGGTCTGTCCCCCTTATTTTTTCTTTTTAGTATGTATGTGTGAATATGTGTTTTAGTGTTTTTTCATTTGTTTTTTGTTTTTTTTGGTTGGTTGATTTTTGGTTTTTTGAGACAGGGTTTCTCCGTGTCCTGGAACTCACTCTGTAGACCAGGCTGGCCTTGAGCTCAGATATCTGCTTGTCTCTGCCTCCCAAATTAAAGAAGTGTGTCACTATCACCCAGCATGTGTTTTTATTTTATGCATATGGGTGTTTTGCCTGCATGTATATATGTGCACCACATACATGCAGTGTCCACAGAAGTCAAAAGAGGGCATCGTGTCCCTTGGGAATAGAATTACAGGCAGTTGTGAGCTGCTGTGTAGATGCTCAGAATTTAACCTGGGTCCTCTGGTGTGGTTAAGAGCATTCTCTTAATCACTTAACCACTGAGCCATCTATCCAGCCCTGGTGAGTGTGTTTTAAATACTCTCATGTGCACTCAGAGGCAAGAGAAGGAAGTTGGATGTCCTGCTTGATCACTCTCCACTTTATGTCTTTGGGACAGGGTCTCTCGCTGAATCTGGAACTAGGCTGGCAGGCAGCAAATTCCAGGGATCCTCCGGTCTCTGGCCCGCATAACACTGGAGTTCCAGATGCACACACAGCCAAGTCCAGCTTTTTTTAAGATTCAAGTTCAGGTCCTTGTGCTTGTTCAAGAAGAACCCTTGCCCACTGAACTATCTTCTCAGCCTCCTCCACCTTCATTTATGAGCGAGGGTCTCTCATTGACCCTGGAGCTCGCCCATTCAGTTAGAGTAGGTGGCCAGCAAGCCCCCAGAGTCCTTCCATCCCTGCTTCCCTAGCACTGGTATTATAAGCACACTACTGTCCCCAGATTTTTTTTTTTTTTGGTGTGTGTGTGTGTGTGTGTGTGTGTGTGTGTGTGTGTGTGTGTGTGTTTTCCAGGGGTGGAACTTAGCTCTTTACCAGATCAGTCACCTCCCTAGTCCCTCTGTCACCTTTTCCACAAAGCCTGACTTGTCCTTATCCATTCATCTGGGGAGCCACTCTTCCTTGAAGAACGTGTCCAGCATCAGCTCTTCTGACAGCTCCCAGAGTCCCCGAGCGATTCTTTCCAGCACATTCCCAAGGACTTGTGTACGCATCCTGCTGTTATCTCACTGTCCTGACCCTACTTCCTACTGTCTCCCTTCTGCTGCCCAGGTTAGCTGCGTCCCAGCTTTGAGGACATATATAAACGATTAACCCTGAGGGACTGCAATGGTGGGGGGGTGTGGAGCATTCTGAGAGAGAAATGTCAGCTTCCTGACTAGGCTGCCTCCCCTTACCTGGGCACAGTCACAAAAAGCTGCTTGTCACCATCCCATCTCACACGCAAACCAAATGTTGTCCTCAGCTCCACAAATCGCCCGCTTAGACCCACAAAGATGCCATTTGAAGGTATCACTGGGAGGGTGACTCTTTGTTCTGCAATCTGGCAGATAGAGGAGACAGAGAGAGTGATCCAGGAGTCCAGGAGAACCCTAAGACTCTAACATCACATCCAAGGCTAAAAGGCATCACCCTCCACAGCATCCCTCCAGCCTCTCTCACCTGGACTGGTTTGAAGCATCACCATCATTATTTTGTTAAGCCCATCCTTAACAGGGTTTGGGGACAGGTGGGGCTGACTGAAGCCTGGTGGGGGAGAGTGAAGGATAGGACTCACCAGTGTGTATCTGTCCCTGATCATGGTAATGGTAGTCTCTGGCAGGGTGATGAAGACTTTGTCCAGGGAGGATACACCTTCTACTCCACGTTCCTCAGTGCTTGCAGTTATCTTAAAGGATGGTTCTAGATGGAGAGAGGAAGGGCCAAGTCACAAACGTTTGTTTGGTTGGTTGGTTGGGTGGTTGGGTGGTTGGTTGGTTGGATGGATGGTTGGTTGGTTGGTTGTTTGGTTGGTTGGTTGGTTGGTTGGTTGTTTTCAGACAGGGTCTCATTATAGCTTAGGCTAGCTAAGAATGACCTTGAACTCTTGAGAGTACCACTCTCGCCTCCCAATTGCTGGCATTATAGACATGTGCCACCATATCCAGTTTATGTGGTGCTAGGGGTGAAACCCAGTCAGGGCTCTTACTATGTATCCCAAGCTGAAACTGACAGTCTTCCTGCCTCAGCCTCCAGAATGCTGGGATTAAAAACATGTACCACCCCATCCTCTGCTTTCTGAGACCCTGTTGGTGGCGGTGCCCACCTTGGCACTATGGGGCAGACAGAAGGTTCAGTGATATGGCCCTGAGACTTGGTAAGGGTCTCAGAACCCAAAGAGAAAGGGACGTGGCATGACCGTCTGCTTTTGTGGTTGCCTGTCTCCCCGCCATGGACTGGGACATCTTCAGGCAGTCTTGTTCATTCATGAGTCCCTGTCACCCTGTTTCATGTAGCCCAGGCTGGTCTCAAACTCTGTAGCTGAGATGACCTTGAACTCCTGAAGATCCACCTGCCCAGTGTTGAGAGGACAGGCATGCACTGCACACTGCTGAGGCTCTGGGGGTGGAACCCGGGCTTCATGCCCACTGGGCAAGCACTCTACTAACTGAGCCACATCCTCCAGCAAGAGTCCCTTTACCAGTAACTGTCCCTCTGCCCAGGGAACCTCCCACAGTAGCAGGCCATTGATAACTTCAGCTGCACTTCCCCAGGATGGGGGCCTGAAAGCACTGTCTCTGTGTGCCCTACACATCCCAGCTGCTGCTTAACAGAGGGCCTTGGTCCAGTGCAGCCCCTTGCTGCCATCTGTCACCAACCCTGTTCGACCATCTCCTGTGTCTCCATGCCTGACACTTACTCTATAATCTCAGCCCCTTCCCACCCACCCCCACCCCCTGCTCTGGCTCCAATCTCCTACCTGTGGTGTTCTCGCAGATTTGGGTCAAGATATAGGTACATGTCCCTGTGAAGTCGATGTCCCTCTCATCAAAGGTGACAAAATGAAGGTCCCCATAGACCAGGCAGGTAGCACTGCCTGCCAGAGAAGGGGAATGGAGATGTAGGAAGCTGTTTCCAGTGTGCCACTTGACTGAATTCCACACCCCAGCCTCTCCTACCCAGAGATATTCCCAGCTCCACTGCTCAAGGGAGATGTGGAGGATACAGGCTCTCACCCACTCTGACAGAGTAATGATTTAGACAGACAGGAGGGATGACTTTCTGGGATCAGAACAGAACACATGCCGATGTGGTGATGGGAATAGCAAATGCACTCCAGAGTGTCCCACCCACCCTCTCACCATAACCGCGTGAGGGCCAGTGCTTACCATAGGGCTGGCATTCATACTGGCCATTCTGCAGCTGGCAGACAGTGTGTGTCCCGCACTGAGAGATCTGGCACTCCATCCGGCTACCGGGCATGCAGCGGCACCGCTCTGTGCAGTTGGGACTGAACCATTCTTCCCCAGGCTAAGGGCAACAGATCGAGAGTCACAAAGTGTGGAGACCCTCAGAGGTTTCGAAGTGAGATCCGAGTTTGCTTTACCCAGCAGGGCTGCATAAGGGGATGATTTGACCATGGGTGTGGTTACCAGGTGTTTGGAAGGGTCTGCACTTGGCTGTGCTGTGTGCTTTGATCTAGCAAGGGGAGGGCTTTTGCCACACCCCTTGGCATTGTTATAAAAAGCCCTTTTGAAGAGACAGAAGGGGCCGGTGGATTTTGATCCAGGACCTCCCAAAGCTATCTTGTGTTTCTGTTTGTCTCCTCTCTGTTATCTTTCTATCTACAAGTTTCTTATTCCTCTCTCCTCCTCATAGGAACCCTTTAAGAGGTGGAAGCTTGCCTCGGTGCCCTGAACAGGGACTTAGGTCCCTGGACCCCCCCCCCCAACAAAGCCACAGTTCTTGAGTGTATGTGTGTGTGTGTGTGTGTGTGTGTGTGTGTGTGTGTGTGTGTGTGTGTGTTTTCATGGGCCATGGCACCAGTCTGGAGATCTGAGAACAACTTTCTTTGGGAATCTGTCCTCTCCTTCCACCATGTGGGTCCTGGGGATGGAACTCAGGCTCAAAGCTCAGAGGCGGGCGCCTTTACCTGCTGAGCCATTTCAGCAGCCGTGCGCTTTGTCCTGTTTCTGAAACGGTCTCACGACAATGAATTCAGGTAACTCTCCTGCCTCAGCCTCCCAAGTGCTGGAGTTACAGTTTGTGACATCACATATTGTTTGCTTAAAGCACTTTTTGTTTGGTTGTGGTTCTTGTTTTATTGTTGTTTTCATGAGACAGGGTGTCACCTTGTAGACCGGGCTGGCCTTGAACTTACAGAGACCCAACCTGCCTCTGCCTCTACCAGTGCTGAGATTAAAGACATGTGCCACCACACCCAGCCCACTTTAACATTTTTTATTTTTATTTATTTATTTATTATATTTTTCTTTGTTTTTGTTTTCTTTGAGGTGAGACAGTGTTTCTCTATGTAGCCCTGGCTGTCCTGGAACTCCCTTTGTAGACCAGGCTGGCCTCTGCCTCCCAAATGCTGATATTAAAGGCATGGACCACCACGCCCAGTAGCATTTTTGATTAACAGATTGCATGTGTTTATCATGAATTGCTCATAACAGCAATGAGCATTTATTAAGTAATAATTAAGTAATTAAGTAATTATTAAGAAGGATCCAGTTTTAATTGGCAACTTGATACAATCTACAGTCACCCAGGAAGAGAGTCTCCTAGAGGTATTGTCTATTAAGTTGGTCTGTGGACATTCCGGGGAATTGTCTTATTGCCTTAATTGACGTGGGAAGACCCAGCCTGAAAGTGCATGGCACCATTCTCTGGTTTGAGGCCCTGGACTATATAAGGGAGAGGGGGGGGGGCACACTAGGCGTGCATGCATTGATTTCTCTGTTCTTGACTGTAGATAGAATATAAAAGTAAAACCAGCTGTCTTTCGCTCCTGTTACCTTGATTTCCTCTCAATGATGGACCGTAACTTGAAATTGCAAGCTAAAATAAATCCTCCCCACCCAGAGTTTGTTTTTATCTGGTCTTTTATCAGAGCAACAAAAATGAAACCAAAACACATCTTTACAAAAAAAAAATCTGTTTAGTTTTTTTTTTTTAACTATATCTCATGTAGTCCAGGCTAGCCTTGAATTCCTTTAACCAGCAGAGGATGATCTTGAACTCCTGGTCTCCCTGTCTCCATCTGTCCAGTGTTAAGATTACAGGTGTGTGCTGGCACATCTAACTTTATGCACTGTGAGGTAAGGAGAGAAAATCTTAAGCCCAGAGTGGTAGTGCACACCTGTAATCCCAAAGCTTGGAAGACTGAGGCAGGAGAATTGACTCAAGTTTGTGACCAGCCTGGGCTACAAAGTGGGTTCCAGGCTAGCCTAGATTAGCGAGTAAGACTCCGCTCAGAACAGCAACAACAGTATTCCGTAACCTTCCCTCTTCTTGCTGGAAGTGAAACATGGAGGAGGAGGAGGAGGAGGAGGAGGGCTGGGTGTGGCTTAGTGACTAGGGGGTTTGTCTAATGGGACAAAATCCTCGGTTCAGTCCTCAGTACTACATAACTGGACACCCGTAGCCCAGCACTTGGAAGGTGGAGGCGGAAGAATCAAATGTACAAGGTCATCCTCAGCAACATGAGGAGTTGAAGGTCCACCTGGGACATATGAGACTATATGTAACTAAATAAGCCGAGCGGTGGTGGCCCACACCTTTAATCCCTGCACTCGGAGGCAGAGCCAGGTGGATCTCTGTGAGTTCGAGGCCAGCCTGGTCTACAAGCAAGATCCAGGACAGGCACCAAAACTACACAGAGAAACTCTGACTTGAAAAAAAAAAAAGCCAAAAATGTGACAGTTGTATAGCTTGGCCCTTTTGTGGGACTCCTAACAGTGGGAACATGGGATGTCTCTGACTCTTTTACTGACTTTTGGGACCCTACTCCTCATACTGGGTCATCTTGTCAGCCTTAATACATGGGGAGGTGCTTAGTGTTACTGCAACTTGATATGCCATCTTGTGTTGGTACTCATGAGAGATCTGCCCTTTCCTAAACAGAAATGGAGGGGCAGTGGATTGCCGGGGGGTTGGGGGGTGCAGAGGGAGCATGGGGAAACTGCAGCTGGGATGTAAAATAAATCAATAAATTTATTAAAATTTAAAAAATAAAAAAACCCAACTAAATAAAAAGGTAGGTCTTACTGTGCATATTCTTATAGCCACAGAAACAGATTTAACAAGATGAACTTTCCCAAGATCATGCAGAAAATGAATACCGCATCCATGTTCCAGCTCTGCTACCTGACGCTAGATCTGTCTAGTATGGCAGTTACCATCCATACCTGGTGACTTGAGCTCTGAAAATACAGTCAGTCCTGGGCTGGGGATGCAGCTCAGTGGTAGAGCACTATCCTAGAGTCCCTCGGTGAGGGGCTGAGGGCATTGCTCAGTGGTAGAGCACCCGTTCAAAATCCCCTAGTGAAGAGGTGCGAGTGTGGGTCCTTGGTAGAGCACTTCCCTAGAAGGCAAGGGGTCCTTGGCTCCATCCTCAGCACTGTGAAACCCAATCGCTCTACCATTGTGATCCAGTCCTTGAGCCTACACCTTGGGGCTCTCTAAGCTACTCACACAGAGATTGGGGGCACCAGGGCCCGGGTGTTCTGGCATCAGTTCCCCTCTGGAGAGCGGGCCACCCCGGAGGCATACCTGGTAGTACTTGTTGTTGTAGAAGCAATTGCAAGCAGACTCGTTGATGCATTGATTGTTACTAAACAAAAACCCAGGATTGCAGACACAGCCAGGGCTGCAGGGGGACTGGCAGCTGGGCTTGGGGCTCTCACAGGATGCAGGGCATGCACACAATTCAAGGTGGGCATTTGCAGGGCAGCTCTCTGAAAGGAAAACACAGCCTCCATCAGGCTTTCATTACACAGCTGCTCCCCGCCCTGCCCCATCCTGCCCCCAAAGCCTCCCCATCTTTCTCCTACCCTGAGCTCAAGTTCTTTTCTAAAGAAGCCTGCATTTATTCTGTCATTAAAATAAAAAAATAAGAAGAATGAAATAGCTGGGCATGGTGGCGTCCGTGGGAAGCTGAGGTAGGAAGACTGCCAAGGATCAAGGCCAGCTCCATAGTGGATTTGAGGCCAGCCTGAGCTACATAACAGGACCTTGTCTCAAAAACGAAAAAAAGTTCTGACCAATGTTATAATAAGGTCACAATATTGAAGACATTGTGCTCATAAACACGTTCCCTGGTTCCATTTGTATGAAATATTCAGGTCAGCGTTAGGTGTGGTGGTACATGCCTGTAATTCTGTTACTCTGGAGACTAAGGCAAGAAGCTCATCAATCTGAGGCTAGCCTCATCTATGTCAGAAGACAGGAAGGAAAGGAGAAGGGAGAGAAATAGAATGAGGTCAGAAGAAGGAAAAAAAGGAAAGGAGCCTGAGGATGACTCAGTGTGTGGCTGGTGTTTCCGCAGTCTAGGTACAGGCCTTTCACTTCCGGAACATCCTTCCCTAATCTCCTCACTGTCTTCTACTGAGAGCTCCAGCTGATGCTCTGTCCACCTCATCATCCCTGTGGCAGACATACCTGTAGCTGTGGCCATGCTGGTTGTCAAGACACCTGGAACCTGTGAAGGGCTTGGACAGGGTGGTCTGCATGTTGTAGGCATTTGCATGAGGACAGTAGATTGCTCTGTAAGAACAGTGGTCTCTTCAGAGGAGATAGTGATCCCTACGGGAGGGGTGGTGCTCTCCTCAGGAGAAACAGTGGTCACTTCTGTAGAGGTGGTGGTCTCCTCAGGAGAAACAGTGGTCACTTCTGTAGAGGTGGTGGTCTCCTCAGGTGAGACAGTGGTCACTTCTGTAGAGGTGGTGGTCTCCTCAGGAGAGACAGTGGTCACTTCTGTAGAGGTGGTGGTCTCCTCAGGAGAGACAGTGGTCACTTCTGTAGAGGTGGTGCTCTCCTCAGTAGAGACAGTGGTCACTTCTGTAGAGGTGGTGGTCTCCTCAGAGACAGTGGTCACTTCTGTAGAGGTGGTGGTCTCCTCAGGAGAGACAGTGGTCACTTCTGTAGAGGTGGTGGTCTCCTCAGGAGAGACAGTGGTCACTTCTGTAGAGGTGGTGGTCTCCTCAGTAGAGACAGTGGTCACTTCTGTAGAGGTGGTGGTCTCTTCAGGAGAGACAGTGATCATTTCTGTAGGAATAATGGTCCCTTCAGGAGAGAGGGTGGTCACCTCTGTGGTGGCAGTAGTCACTTCTGTGGTGGCAGTGGTCACTTCTGTAGGGATGATGGACCCTTCAGGAGAGACAGTGGTCACTTCTGTAGTGACAGTGGTCCCTTCTGTGGTGAGAGCAGTCACTTCTGTGGGGACAGCGGTCACTTCTGTAGGTATGCTTTCCTGAAGGACACTGGTCCCTTCAGGAGAGACACTGGTCACTTCTGTAGGTATGCTTTCCTGAAGGACACTGGTCCCTTCAGGAGAGACACTGGTCACTTCTGTAGGTATGCTTTCCTGAAGGACACTGGTCCCTTCAGGAGAGACACTGGTCACTTCTGTAGGTATGCTCTCCTGAAGGACACTGGTCCCTTCAGGAGAGACACTGGTCACTTCTGTAGGTATGCTTTCCTGAAGGACACTGGTCCCTTCAGGAGAGACACTGGTCACTTCTGTAGGTATGCTCTCCTGAAGGACACTGGTCCCTTCAGGAGAGACACTGGTCACTTCTGCGGTTACAGTGGCCACTTCTGTAGGGGTGATGGTCTCTTCAGTGTGAGTGGAGGATATTTCTACGGAAATAGGGGTTGCTTCTGTGGGGACTATAAGGACAATGTTTTCAGAAGGACCAGTAGGTAGAATCTCTGTCTGCTGCGATACTGCAAAGAAAAACAAAATCCTGTTAATTAGTCAAAATTAGACCACCTCCCTTTCACTCATCTAAATAGGAGTGGGTGGGTTCATGGGGGGCCACTTTGTCACCCCTATTTCTGCTCCCAATCCCCCAACCTTCACTCACTTATTCAAGAGGCAGAACTCCCAAAACACATTAGTGCCAGGTACGGGAATCACAAAACTGAATAGGAGATAGGGCCCACCTTCAGTACCACTAGAGAAGGAAGGTTCTGGATCCTGCCACACAAACTCATGCCATCAAAGACACAATCATAGCTGGGTATAGTGTGCCCATCTGTCATCATAGTCACCAGTGACGATGAGGCAAAAGGATCACAAGTTTGAGGGCACATGGGCTACCTCGTGAAAGCCTGTCTAACAGTGAAAATGCAACAAGCCCGGGAACAGAGTTCAGTGGCAGAGGACTTCCCTAGAGAGGGCCGAGGGCTACAGTGCAGTAGTAGGGCATTGCCTAGAATCCCCTAGGGAGGGGCTGGGGTGTGACAGAGCACAGGAGTGCTTGCCCGGCAGGTACGAGGCACGGGGTTCTATTCCCGGTACTGAGGGTGGGAGACGCTGGGCCCTCGAGTTTCATCTTACCCCGACATGGTCCATGAGTGATGAAGATAAAATTCACAGCTACGACAAAGGCAGTGCTGGTACCCCGGGTGGCCTCGAGAAACAACTGCAGGCCGCGGGCAACAAAGAAGGAAGAACAGGACAATAAAAGTCTGCCGCGGGCGTGTGTCCTCTGCCTCAGCATCCCTTCGTCAGAGCCTCAATCGTCCGGCACACCCCCACCCTCTTGAACCTTAAGTCGGCCTCCTCTCTGTGCTCTTTCCCCCTCTTCCGCCCTGAGTCTGAAATGCCCCAAACAGGCCTGTGTGTTAGAATACTTGGTCCTCATCTGGTGGCGCTATTTGGGAGGTGGTAGGAACTTTGACAGAGGCCGTCAGGAGACGGGCATCTGATGGCTGTAGCCTGGTCTTACTTTTGGCACAGTCCCCTGCTTTGTGATCTTTAGGAGCCACCCAGCAAGCTCATGCAGGATGAGCCCAGCCACTGTGCCTTCCCCACCATGATGGGCTCTACCCCACCCCAAAATAAACCTCTCCTTGCATAAGTTGCTCCTGTAAGGCATTTTGTCACAGCACCCAAGAAAAACTAACATATCACCTTTCTACCTCAGTTTATGGCCCAACCTGGACCCTGGACCCCTTATTACGTGCCCCCCATACATACAGGGCCCACTCCATCTCTCACCTGCATGGGCTGCTGATGTCCCTTCGGGATGGTGACAGAGCTGTTCACCCAGCTAGTGCTCTGAGATCCAACACGGCTCCACAGGGAAACAGGCGAACTGCCCGCAGGACTCCCCAACATGAGCTTGAGTGTGGTCCCTTCTCCAAGGCCATACATGTGGTAAGCAAACTCCACACAGACGTCCCCAGGGGCACAGAAGGGTGGACTCACCAACTTGGCAGACTGTCCTGCCTGGGATAACTTGACTGAATCGAAGTAAATATAATGATCCCCTGGATGAAGGAAGAGGGAACCAGAAAGGTGAACCCCTCCCCACACGGAAACTTGCGTATATGACAAGTCTAGCTGCTTGCTGTAGCCATGTCTAGCTTCCCAGGTGAGCACACAACCAGACATGCGCCATAGTATTCCTCTTTGCTCTTTTCTTTAGTTTCTGAGACAGGGTCTTGTACAGCTCAGGCTGGCCTAGAACTTACAACGTCCCTGCCTTAGCCTCCCCATCACAGGTTTGCATCACAGCAACGGCACTCTGCTCATTTAGGAGTCTTAACTGAAGAAGACCAAAAGACACGGGAAACCCAGTCTACAGTCCAGATTCTATTGGCATCAGCTGCAAATGTCTTGGCTGGAAATAACACAGTGGATTTTTGAAGTCTTGGGCTCAATGTAGAGCAAAGCCTCAATTGCTCCTCTCCATCCCACCCCGAAAGCTAGGAATAGAACCTAGGGACTTTCACATGCTCAGCAAGTGCTCAGTTGTTGAGACACACACAGACACAGACCTGCCCCTCTCTGGAGGATTCTTAGCAACTGCTACAACGAAGCTGTGCCCATATGGGGAAGCCTGGGTTTCCTGCTGGGTTGCAATGATCCCACTGTCTTGAGCAGCCTCGGCAGAGTCTACTTGACGGGTCTGAGTTCTCCTCCATAAACACCTGCAGGAGGTGGCTCCCTACATCCTCCATCATCCTCACCGAGTCCCTAGCTAGACGCAGATGCAATGACTCATAACCTCGAGGGGGTCCTCAGTCTCCTCACCTCCATATGGGAACTCTCTTGGGGGCCCTGAGATGGGGGTGGGTACGCTTTTGCTTCCCCAGCTCCAGTGTCCGGGGTCTCCAAGCACATGGTTCCAGTCACAGAAAGGATGAGTTCCGTCTTCAAAGCTGCACTGAGGAAAGCTCTCTAGCAGATTCCAAGAGGGAAGTTTGAGACACTTACCCCGTGCCCCGCCCCTGCCCCATGACGCCAACCCCTCACTCAGCAGGGTTTCCCACGGCTGTGTTCTCACCCCCACAGGGAGCAATGCTGATTGCATCCACAGCTATCGCTGGCTCTGGTATCTCTCCAAACATACCCACCACCATGAACTGAAAAGAAACGGAGAGCAGGCCTGGAGTGACCAGGCCAGTCAACCCTCCGCCCCCAATCCTCCAGTCCTCTTCTGAAGGCTACTATTAATCATCAACTTGACAGAATCTAAAGTCACCTGAGAGGTAGGCCTCTGGACATGCCTACTGGGGGATTATTTTATGTTAATTGAGGTGGGCAAACCCACCCACCATGGGTGGCGTCATCCCCTGGCTGGGATCCTGGGTTGTGTTGACTGTGTAAGGGAGCTGAGCGGCAGCATGTTATGTGCTCATCATTCTCTGCTTCCTGACTGGGGTGGGATGTGGCCAGCTGCTTCAGGCTCCTGGTGCCATGAATTCCCCACTGTGGTGGATTGTACCCTTGACCTGTCACCCAGGATAAACTCCCTTAAGTCGCTTTTGTTAGAGTGTTTGGTCGCCTTGACAGGAAAGAAACTAAGACACCTCTCATCTGGCATTCCACTTGAAGACCCAGCTCCTGCTCCTGCTGCCCAGACCCTCAGCTCATCCCAACACTGAGAGAACCTACCATACACAGGGACTCCTCCTAATGAGGACCTGGCTCCTCTGTACCTGTATCTGTCCCTGTCCTGTATAATTGACAGACACAGTCTGCCAGCTGGGTCCAGGGTGTCCTGAGAAGAGAGTGTGTTTCCGGATGTTGCCTACAATGGAGGAAAACCAGAGGGAAGGAAGTTTGTGAGGACTTAGTGAAGGACAAGTTGTACAGAGAACGTTAGGACAATACTCCTACAGATGCAAACAATCCCTACCCCCACCTCCTGCTGTGTGTGTGTGTGTGTGTGTGTATGTGTGTACACAAGCACATGCGGGCATTCTCTCACTCTCTCCCGCTTTGTGTGTGTGCACACATATGCACATATATGCACTCTCACTCTCTCCTGCTTTGTGTGTGTGCACACATATGCACATGTATGCACTCTCACTCTTCCCTCCTGCTTTGTGGGTGTCTATGTGCACAAGAGCACATGAATGTATGTGCGTACCTATAAGTGTACGTGTGTGCAGGTTTATATGCAGAAGTGCATATGTAGATGTGCATACACATCTGTTCCCTCCAGGCGTCCTTCCTCAGGAGCTCTCCATTTTGGTTTTTGAAGCAGAGTATCTCAGACCTGGGCCTTATTAGTTAGCCTACACCAGCAGACCAGGGAGCCCCCAGGGAGCCCGTTTCTGCCTCCCCAGGGCTGGGGTTACAAGCAAGTGTTACTATGTTTACATGGGTGTTGGGGGATGGCCGTCAGGTCCTCATACTTGTGTGACAAGCGCTTTAATAACTGAGCTATCCACCTGGCTGGAGTGTTTGTTTATTTTTAGACCGTCTCCTGCAGTATAGGCTGACTTCAAACACACTTTGTAGCAGAGACTGGCCTTGAACTTCAAATCTTCCGCCCCATACCCCCCAAGTGCTCGATTATAGGCACGGCCCACCACAGCTATACTTTGCTTTTCTAGAATCCAGCGCCTTTCCCATTTCTAAAACATAGAACAGTCTCACAAATGCATCCTAAGGAGATACTCCTCCTTATTTCTCCATCAGTCCAACCCTCCCAGATGTGCCCTGGTCAATGATCTCCTCTAACCCAAGAATGTAGCATAGACGAAAAGGCCTTCGCCGGGCGACCGGCCGCGCATGATGTAGCTGAAAGACAGGGTCAGACAACCGCTGGAATGGCTGAGGGGACTCAGAAGTACGGCTTTCTGTCCTGGCCTTGCGTTCGCGGAGTCCAGGAGCATGTAGTAGCCACCTGCAAAAGAAAGGGCCAGTGAAGTGGCTGGGATGGAGGGGAGTCCGTAACCAAGGCATCGGAACCTGGGAAGATGGGGACCTGGCCATGGGGAGTTCCAACAGCCGCCTAGAATGTGGCAGTGGTGAGGGAGTTACACCCAGCCACCACTGGCAGAGTGCTGGGGCTGGGTAAAGACCCGGTGTCGCTATAATAAATGCAGGCATCCGCTCAGAAACAGTCATCACAATCTTGCCTCTTGGGTCCCTTAATCATAGCCAGACAGGCCAGGCGGTGGTGGCGCACACCTTTAATCCCAGCACTCGGGAGGCAGAGGCAGGCGATCTCTGTGAATTCGAGGCCAGCCTGGGCTACAAAGTGAGTTCCAGGACAGGCACCAAAACTACACAAAGAAACCCTGTCTCGAAAAACCAAAAAGAAAAAAGAAAAAAAAAAAAACATAGCCAGACAGCCAATCAGCCTGAGGTTCGCTTAGTGACGCAACTAGTAACCAAGGGGGAGGGAAGAGGGCCCTGATGGGAGGCGGAGGTCCGCGCAGGCATGCGTGCGTACTCCTGTCCCACACCCATTGGCTCCCGGCAAACCTTGGCTGAGGGAGGCCAGGAAGCCCAGAAAACGAGCAGGTGTTGGGAAAACAGGAGAAGGAAGAAGGGAAGGAAGTAAATAAATGGCGAAGGAGAAAGCAAGAAGAAGAAAGGGCCCGAAGGGCTGGTGCCTGTAGTTTCAGCCAGCATCTTGGGAGCCTGAGGCAGGAGATTGAAGCTCAAAGCCTGAGCTTGGAGTCCTTGCTCGAAACAAAACAGAAAAGATTAAAAACCCAACCAACCGCTACTAACACGACTGATTTGGGACGTAATGTTAAGGGCTAAAAGGTAAAGAGAGGAGATGCCCAGGGCATTTACCGGGGGTTTCAAATAAAGGGAAGGAGAGGTTGAAGAACTTTCTAGAAGGTAAACCTCCCGGAACAGGAAGGTGGTGCACACCTTTAACCCCAGCACTTGGGAGGCTGAGGCAGGCGGATCTCTGTGAGTTCAAGGCCAGCCCGGTCTACAGCGTGAGTTCCAGGACAGCCAGGGCTGCACAGAGAAACCCTGTCTCGAAAAACCAAAAGAAAAAAGAAAAAGAAAAAAAAGAACAAGTATGTACTGGAAATGGAAATCAAACATCACTTGAAGTCTGACCTCTAAAACTTGGCAGATGCAGGGACCAGGTGGAGATAAAGAGGAGAGGGACACCATGTAGGAGCGCGAAGGAAGGACAGGAAGAGAAAGCCCAGGCAGAGTACAGGGAGGGGGAGGGGGAGGGATCACCGTGAATGGAATGACTAGGAAGGAACATTTTGGCTTAAACGGCTGCAAATCTCCCTCGGGAGTCCCCATCAGCCCTTGCTGTTCCAGACAGCGGCTTCTTAGCAGGAAATCCAAGTGGCGTTAAGTCAGTCATGCTGACTAGGCCGGGCTGACCTGAACTCACAATCTTCCTACCTTGGTCTCCCAGGTACTTGGATTACAGGCCTGTGTCACGAAGCCTCCCTCTCTCCTTCCCTACCTCTCCCTTCCTTCTATGGCGCTGAGAATGGAACCCAGGGCCTTGCGTGCTAGGCAAGTACATGACCACTGACCAACATCCACAGCCCTTATTTTTCATGTGTTTCTGAAACAGGGTCTAGCCCAGGTTGCACTTGAACTCACTGTGTAGACTAGGCAGTTCCTGAACCTCACATCCTTTTGCTTCCGCCTTCCCAGTGCTGGGGTTACAGGCATATACCATCATCCCTGGCTCTGTGCTGGTTTTACACACTGATTCTCAAGTTACTGGGACAGTGTGCAGGGGAGCTACTCAGTAGATACCAGATGAATAACTGGATGAATGAAGGATGGAAGATGCCAGGGAAGGAGGGAACGAGCTGGCTGCACTGGCAGTGTGTGTGTGTCGGGGGGAGCTGGAGAATATGTGAAATCATTCTTTTTTAAAATTGTTTATTTAAATGATTTATTTATTTTTATGTGCATTGGTGTTTTGCCTGCATGTATGTCTGTGTGAGGGTGTGGGATACCCTGGAATTGGAGTTGTAGACAGTTGGAAGCTGCCATGTGGGTCCTCTACAAGAGCAGCCAGAGCTCTTAACCACTGAGCCATCTCTCCAGCTCGAAATCATGCTTCTTGCCATGATCCCTAAGCTGAAAGAAGCTTTGGGGGGAGGGGCGTGCTGGGAAAGCCTGGCCTGACCTGGGGATGCTAATGAAAGAGGGACATAGAGCTGCCAGGAGCCCAGAGATTCCGAGGATATCTTCAATACTCACTACCAGGGCTGGAGAAGTCATCATCAGGCCCCACACCAAACTCCCCCGATGAGCCCTTCTTCTGGGTCCACTTAGCCCCGGTGGCAGTTGGGACCCAGCTCCATCCGCAGAGATCATTTAGAGTATCAAAGGTGCACATCTGGGACATGCAGACTGAGAGGGGAGAAAAGAAGAGATGGTGCTGGAGTGTGGCTCAGTGGTTAGAGCACCTGCCTAGCCTCCCCTGGTGAGGGGATGGGGTGTGGCTCAGTGGTAGAGCCCCTGCCTAGACTCCCCCAGTGAGGGGCTGGGGTGTGACTCAGTGGGAGAGCACCTGCCTAGACTCCCCCAGTGAGGGGCTGGGGTGTGGCTCAGTGGTAGAGCACCTGCCTAGAATCCCCCAGTGAGGGGCTGGGATGTGACTCAGTGGTAGAGCACCTGCCTAGAATCCCCCAGTGAGGGGCTGGGGTGTGGCTCAGTGGTAGAGCACCTGCCTGGGATCCCCCATCTAAAGGCTAATAGTGGAGGCTGGAGAGGTGGCTCAGGGGTTGAGAGCACTGGCTGCTCTTCCAGAGGACCCAGGTTCAGTTCCCAGCATGGCACCTGTCTGTTATTCCAGTTCCAGGGCTTCTGACACCCTCACACAGACATTTACTTTTGGATTGAACACCAATGAACATGAAATAAAAAGTTAGTATATATATTTTAAAAGAAGCCCATTTGTTAAAAAAGAAAAGAAAGGAAAGAAAGAAAAAGAAAAAAGAAATGCTCAGGGTGCAGTGTCGCCATAGAGCACTTATCTTCGTCCTCTGTTGCGGGGCTTAGGACAGGGCTCAGCAGTAAATCATTTTCCTAAAGCCTGCCGGTGAGGGACTGGGGCCAC